TTCGAGCTCGACATATCTGAACTATATCTGTCGAACTCCGTCATTCTTGGAGCTTTCAAACTCTCAACTTCGAAGGACGTTGCTCGTGACACCCTTCCAAAAGACAGCTCGCTGGAGGTTCCATCTCAAAAGTGCATATTGGTGCTGGTGCAACCACAATGGGCCGCTAACTAGCAGAGGATATCGAAAACGGAATGAAAGGCACTTTGACAGAATGCGCGCGCGTTCACGCTCGGAGAAAAACGACTGGCTGAACCACATGCGAAGGCAGCACTTCCATCAGTGAATGCCAACCCTTCCATCAGAAAAAATCCAACTCCGAAATTGAAACAGTTGTGCAAGTACGGAGAGTGAGCGCCCTCACTCTACATCCTCACACCACACGCGGATCAGCTCAACATAGGGTCACATTCGGAGATTGCACCGCAAATGAGGAGCCTGGGAGGCCGCATGCCCCACGACGTTGCGCATGACGCCATCAAGCTCCATGGACCTCCCACCAAGCCAGTGCAGCCTCGACTCTTGCCCGTCTGCGAAAGGGAAATCATGCCGAGGTGTGACACAAACATTTCAAACATGCGTCCAAGTCGCATTTCCGAAGACTCCTTCCTGTCAGGGATTCGTATCTCAAGCCACGTGGGTTACCCTTTCTTCCCGCTCATGTTTTCAGTTGTTCAGCGTTGATCTTGATTGGCCGTCGTGCAGGGTGAGGTGCCCGTACACGCAATACCGACACCTGATCTCCATGTCTGATGCCTCACTGACCTGCTTGACTCGCGAGAACGACGTGGCCCAAAGCTACTCTGACAAAAAGCAAAGCGATTCTACTCGCATGCAGAGAAATCCCGGTCCAGCTCAGTGCGCGCAAGACCAGAGTGGCGCTGGCCACGTGGATCGCAATGCGCCGGGAGGCTGCACCTGGGAAGCCCTTAAGAGACTGGTAAGACCCGGTAAGAATCACGAAATGTCAAGAACTGTCAAGAACTCTCGAGAGGAGAACATGGCCGCGGAACACGGCAGAGCCAGACCCAGGCACTCGAGATGAGATCTGCAGCCACTGCCCAGGCGTGACCTCGTCCGAATTCTTAGCAAGCATGACAGGGTACGAAGACATACTGGGGGGGGACGCGGGGGGACGGGGGGGACGCGGGGGGGGACGCGGGGGGGGGACGGGGGGACGGGCGCGAACGGGGGCCGTTGGAGGGACGGTGGGGGACGTGCCTCGTGCAGCTGCATCAGGCCCGAGTGCCGAAAGCAAGCAATGCTGCCACAGCAACGCTGATGGGCCTCCAAGCGTGAAACAATGGTGTGACTGTCGGCATATTGACCCCTTCAAAAAAACCTTCGAGCCTGCCGCGCTGCCCAGGGCAGTGTTGACAGCAATGTCGTCAATCTCAATGGAAGCATCGGCCATCCTGTTAGGCTCTGAGCCCGCGACGTCCCGAAGTGAGGGCGCGGCCAACTTGTAGAACTACTCTTTGGAAAGAAAGAACACGTGGGCTATCATGGGCTATCATGGGCTATTATCGGCTATCATGGGCTGAGTTCTCGGCCTGGACAGGAGGCCAATGCCCACCTCCCACTGCCTGCTATCAGCAGGCATGGCTACATAACGGGATGAAGTGAGCACATGTGAGCACATCTCATCATCGGCCGCCATTGAAAGAGCTGGACCTCTTGTGCCTTTGGTGGGGGGGTGCGGCGGTGACGAGATGATGGAACGGTGTTAAGCGGAGAGTTCTGACGCCCATAAGATTCAACATGTTAAGGGTGACGGCGTTGGGGCAAATTGTTCACTTGGCCCGCGACTTCCAGGACTCCTTTGCCAGCGCTTGCTTACCATCTCCCTCACTCCCTAGGCCTGCAACACCCCCTTGCCCCTCCCCTCCTGCTCCCAGTTCCTGCAATCACCCCAATCGGCCCCACGGCCCCTGGCGACCAATAAACTTTCAGCAAAGCTTCCTCGCCCAAAGCAAACGTTTACAACTATGATAGGTGTCTAACCATTATATTATTTATCTAATCATCTCAGTTCACAGGAAAAAAAGTCATCTTGTGTTAGTTCTTTCCATTTAACGAGAAGATGCCTGAACTAAATTCACAGAACGAGACCTAAATATGTTCTGCAAATTTGCGAGGGACATGGTCCCGTTGACAGGCTCTTGCAGCATGCGTTGTCTTCCGTGGTCTCTCTCTCTCTCTCTCTCTCTCTCTCTCTCCTTCTGTGGTAGTTTTCATGCTTTTTCTGAACGTTTCTGCTGCACAAGCAGGATGGCCCTGAACAAACGTGAGGGCAAAATGGCGAATGGGGGGCCTGAGCAATTGGAAGTGGGTGGTGGGCCTGGGGCAAGGAGGGTTCGTCCCAAACGTGAACTCATGAAGCAGGGTGGAGGGGGGGGGGGGTGTTTTTCCGCATGAAGCTTCTGGTCTGTGTGCAGCGGCCCGTCAATTTGTGTCAAGTGGCCGAACGCGACGGCAAGCGGTGGCAACCTTTGTGAAGCTCGCAGCATCAGCCTTCAAGCACCGCAGTGTTAAATAAACGAATGCGCACTGCGCACTGCGCGGCATGTCCAGAATCCAGAGTGTCAAGACCTGCCTCAATCTCAGCTAAACGCATGTCACGGAGAAGCTGCAGCGAGGATTGAACTGACGCCATCTTGCCTCACAGTCTTACATAAGCGACTAGCAGTAGGCTTATACAATTGCAAAGCACACCCCTCCCTTCATTGTTACCATCCAACTCTCGAAGTTCAGCCGTCACTAGGTCAGGGTCACGTGGCGCAGAAGAGTCACAAGCGAGCATGTTAGGTGACCACCCTGAAAACGCTGATTAGCCGGAATCATCTCCGCATTTGTTCGCATGCGTGGCATCATCCACCATCTCATTATCTACGAGTATGTGTCTATAGAAATATAAATATAAATGTAAATATATATGTGTGTATATATATAAGCGACAACTGACAACAGCTATCCAAGCAAGTCATGCTTCTGGCTGTCAATTGAGGCACGCGCTTAAGGACACCAGGGCCACGCGAAAGTTCGATCTCAGTCGCCGACACGATGCACGTTTTGACGAACACCCTAGCCCAGAAGAAAAGTCATTGCCATCGAGGAACGCAGTTCCCCGACCGCTTAGGTCGGTCAGGATGTGTTGGGACGCCTTGTCAAACATTCCAGTGGTGGCCGCTGCACGAGCTGTCCTTCTATTGACTCAGGGTTCGCTTGCTGCTAGCGCGGTCACCGCAAGCATAGCGGCATCGGCCGTCGGCAGAGGGTACGCCGACTGTACCACGATAAAGTAAGCCAGTATCGGGCGGCTGAGATCCTTCAAATTTCACAGCTTGCGACAAACTGCCAAGCGCGGTGGAAGCGCTTGGCATTCAGTGGTCTGGCTGATGTAGAACCAAGCCCGACCAGATACCATCGTAGAGGGCAAGGCTGTGAATGGCGTCACATCACATGGCTCACATCCGAAAGGACACTGTGACCCTGCCTACAGTGCGTGTTGTGTAAAGTGCCCATAGCCTGTGAGATGAAATCAAGCCTGCCCTCATGATGGTTCGTCAACCTTCTCACCCGTGGATGCCTGCCAAACTATATTCACGCGTGAGAGGCTGGTAGCGGATGCAATCAGCTGGGCAGCTGGGCATACGAAACATCAACGGAGAACTGCAGCGATAAATTCACTTGCCCACTGCTATGACATTGTCCTTTTGCCATTTCCGCCGGGTGCTCCGCGGTCAGGACCTCTATGCCAAGTGGGATGCAGCCGTTCCAGTCGCAGGAGTGGAGCAGGCAGCACCTAAACTGAGCCGGCCATGACAGTCGGTAGGAGCACTCAACACTTTGGTGACATGGAGTTGGCCTGCCTGTTGGGTAGTGTCCGGCTTCTTGTCGGCAGCAATGAAACTTGCAATGGTTTCGCTGAGACCGTGCGCAAGAATGGCAGAAAAGCAGGAGCCACGATTTGCAACGCCAGCCACTTGATCATGACCTTGCAGCAGAGCGTGGGGTGTCAGCGGTAGGTTCCATCATGATACGCCGCAGTATGACCTGCTTGGGCACGATTCTGAAACGCATCTCTTGCAAGAAGTACTACACCAAGCCTGCTGGAAGCGTTTGGCTTTGGCTTCTTTGGCAAACTTCTTATGGATGTCACCTGAGCTGAATATCGGTATTGCGATAGACTCACACCTACGGATCCCCTAGACAGATATCCCAGTATGGGATCGTTAGGGCTTTTAGCTTTCAGGCTGCGTTGCTAGCCTGAGACGCTCTCTATAGACACGCTATGGCTTTTGCAGTGTCTCTTCAATAGCGCCGCCAGGACTTTTCACACACCCTCCTGAAATGCGTAGGAATCCTGACGGCACTGAATGGAACTGGTTTCCAGCTTCCAGCCTCCAAGCTTCATCAGAGATAGTTAAACTTACAGCCGGCACTCTTCGAAAAGGTCCTCCGAAACACCACAACACTTCACAAACCCGAAACCCTCAACATCCAAAAGCACTTCAATTAAGCAGTATGGAAGAACTGGGATGCCAAGCTGGATGCCAAGTGTCTCCCGCAGGCACATGCTCCCCGGGATTCTCCGGCTCGGCAGCCCCGCACAGTTTTGACAGCGGCAGACAGCGCAGACCGGCTCAGACCTGCAATGGCCACTAGTCACTGTGCGTCACTCTTCGCCGCTCTGAGTCACAAAACCCGCTTTGTTATACGGAGCTGAATCGAAAGCTCACCTAGGCGCTATAGGCCGTAGGATCCCTTCGACTCGGCCTCATACAGTCCACACAGCGGCTTCTGGCGACAACCGCCGGTCGGTCGGCTGATCCAGTGCCTCAGTTCTTTGGGGGTTCGTTTTCTCAAACAAAGACATCAGCGGACAATTTCCAACAACTCGAGCTGATGGGGGACGAACGCAGACTCACCGACAAACGACCGCCAACCACCCATAAGCAAAGCTTCTGAAACATCTTTGGAGTTCGTAGGGATGAAATTCAAATGGCAGTTCGCCCTCCAGACCGTCGGCACAACCAGGCAGCCTCAGGCGCAATAGTCTTGCGGCAATGGATCTCTACAAGGTCGTCTGCAGTTCAAGCAGCTGATGTCTGCTCCAATTCTTCCAGAAGCCTCGCCGACTCGGCATGCAGCCTGCCTCACAAAGCAAACCGCCAGCAACATGTAATGCATCGAATGCTGGAGGACTTCAGCACGTAGCCATGCCTGTCCGCACTGCCTCAAGGCGCAGCCCCACGACCTGCAACAGCAGAGCTCACGGCCTCGCCACCTTGCCTGGCTGGGAAGGCGTTGAATGGGCCTGTAAGAACCTGTGGCCCAGAACCTCACATCAAGGCACTGCCTATTGACAGTCCATGCCCATGCTCACGACCTCGAACATTTGCACCGGCAATTGCATTTATGACTGCGCGACATTTCCTGCGAAGACTTGCTTGCGTGTACCACAGAGACTGTCAGGGTCTGCATAGAGCCAGGCCGAGACATACTCTGTTCACACAAGAAGCAGCAGGTCCCTATATGTGCATCTGACAAGAAGCCCAGACGTAACTGGCATCTCGCGACGCCGGAGAACTAGCTTGCACTCCATACGCCGGTGCGCATACATTTGCCCATGTGGGCACATGTGGGCCTAGCTTGGCCAGGCCACCCCGCACCCAGATCTCATAGGTCTCTGACAAGGGCGCATTACGCACCCTCTTTCACGAATGAACAGCGACATCTAGCATAGCGACTAGCTCGCTAGCGGCCCGGGAGCTGGAACGCCATTGACTTGACCGCAAGAAGGGCACCTGCCACCGGTGTGGGCTGCACTCGATACTGCTTTGCGCTGTGCTTTCCAGTATCTGGCCAAATCAATTTCAACTCACTCGGTTCCGCGACAAGTGAGATTGCGCTGCTTCCGGGAGGAATGAAAGGCCCTACATCACAAGTCAGAAGATGGCTGTCGAATCGCATGTTCTGTGTCTGCTGGTCGTTTAAGATCCTCAGATTATTCCGTGTCTTGTCCAAGTCTTCTCAACTTTACTTTGGGAGCAGCTTCAAGGTGATGAACCAGCACCAAGTCATCAGCTTGCGGCGCAGCTCCAATGCTCCGCAATGCTCCACATACAATCCTCTCCTGCCGCTTTGGCAGGCCACAGCTGTCGAATGGTTCGCCGGACCGGTGACCAGTTGCCAGGAGAGTTAAGGCAATGCGAGACATGTTAGACATGTTGCATTAGGCTTGCTTTCCTTCCAGGCTTAGCTGATGGTGTGCGCCACCATGGATCAAACGTGCAAAGCATCAGGCGGGTAACTCTGCAACAATCATGTGGTCAGTCGCCACGAATCAGTGTTCAGCAGCTGGGTGCTGGTGTTGGGAAAGGGAAAGGCCCGAATACAGCCCGAATTGAAATGCAACCCCAGCATGCCAAGTCCAGGCAACAGTCCCGGTCCATAACATCCACAACTTGGCTTCGACCTTGTTTGCCGATGGGAGAGTAACAAGCTTGCAAGCCTCCACCGGAATCTGCATCACAAGCACACTAGATAAATTATGCTGAATACGTAATAAGGCCCGCGTTGGCAGATCGCGGAAGCTCGAAGCTTGCAAGTTCTCTCATTCTACAGCAGTAACCAATGCCTGGACTGCTGGGCAGTGCCCTCCACGCAACTGCCTGGCTCTGCGCCATATTGCTAGAGATTGCTAGAGATTGCCAGGGATCACTTTTTTCTTACATATCTTACACCAGTCTGCCTGAGAACTCGAACAAATCTTCGAAGCATGAAGGCTTCAGAATAGCATGAGCCACCAACCAGCTCGTCCGGCTTCAATCTCGAGCGCTGATCGCGCAGACCCTGCTTCACTGGATAAAGAGGCACAAGATGTCACAAGTCTCACCATGAAAGTTTACAGCGACTAATTACATGATTGCCTCGGATGCCTACAAACAGGTGTCTGCAAACACCAGCCACAGCAGCCTCGGTACACGTGAGGCAGCGAATGCTAGGCGCTACGTTCGCTCGCATATTCCCGTTCAGAACAGGTTCCCACACATCATGTCTGTATTTATCCCATGCCCTAAGCTGGAACATATTCAACTTCAATTCATGGTCTCTCCAAGCATCTCGGCACTCCTTGTGCGAGGTATCTGGCTCAGGAGGACAAGCAAAGAAAAACTAAAGCCTACAAAATTTCTCAAAGCTCTTCTGCTCGAGTTTCCCAAGATTGGGGCATGATGAAGTCAATGCTGTCCCGACAGCATCGAACTTGGAGCCAGCTTCAGCGAGCTACAGCAGCTGGGCAAGAACTGGAATCTGCCCCCCCTCTTAGTCGATGTTTGTTCGACCCTCTTTAGTAGGGAGGTGCTCTAGAAAGACAAAGAACAACCCACCTCCTTTTCCCCATCCCTAGCAGTCCCGACGCCGAAAGACCAGCTTGTAGACCCTTTGTTTACTTGGTCTAGTGCCCTGCTACGAGGCTCAGATGCCCACGGTCCCCTACCTCCAGCCCTAGGTTTCGGCCTCCGATTTCGGTCCGAAAAAACAACAAAGAAGAGGTGACCAAGCTTTAATGGGACCCTTTCAAGGGCCTCCTGTGCAGGTTGTATGCCTTTTTTTGCCTTCTGTGGATTGCCTATGCCCTACGGCCCTATGGACCCCTCTGGAACAGCCGATGGGCCTATGGACTTGAACTTGATGACTTGACTGCTATGCACCCCCATCGGACTCGGCCGCCCTGTTCGTTCCAAACGCTGGAGCCGTTGGCTGATTAGCTGATGAGAAGCACCCTGGAATTCAAGTGAAATGCGCAACTACGAACATCTCAGCTCAAAGCTGGCTCGCAAGACAGAGCATGCCGTACATGAGTCGTACATGTACTCAGTCGTACTCTGCATGTACTGCAGCTTCGCACCTGTGCCATATGAAGCTGCAGGCAGCATAAAAAGGCAAGTGTCCGTACAAGAAGACGCGTGCTCGTGTGGCAGCAACACAGAAATAGTAGCCTCAGACCAGACGGATGTGCCCCTGCCGGCTATCTAGCCGAAACTAGCGGACCCCTTTCCTCCGCCATTGCTAAGCTGTTCAATCAGAATTCGAGTTCGACGGCATGCTCACTTGGCTCAGGCCGAGGTGGCCCGTGTCTTCAGCAATGTCATGTGCTGAGCGAGCATGTGTAATTTGTAGTCATTGTAGTGCAAACGCCGCGTCTTGTTCTTTCCTCTCTTTAGTCCCTCTGGGCTTGCAAACATGCGCTAACTGATAAGGGAACCCATACCAGCCTGAAGCCGCTAGATCGCAGTACCATCCAACATGACCCGAGTCAAGCTCACAGTCGCAGTGCTGCTTTCGAGCAATGGCAGGGCCAATTCAGCGACAAGAGTGATCCCACGAACTCGAAACACTGCTCACATTGCTTCACCATCGCTCCTCAGCACTTCAAATCAATCAATCTCGTTCTTGCTTGTCTAGACAACCTTCTCACGCAACAAAGTGTGGAACAACATGACATGACAGCAAAGCTGCGCAAGGCTGCACAAAAATGTCAAAACTGCTCAGAAGGTTCGGTGATTTTGCGACATCGCTCGAAGATTGCGCCGGACAAGCATCTCTTTCCTTGGATCGTGGAGCGGCCCGGACAACCAATGTCGATGTTAGAGATTATGCGATCTCCCCAGACTTGGCCTGGCTTCTTGCCCGTGACGTCCGAGAAGGCATCCGTGTGCTGCACTATTGTTGCCATATCCTTTCGTGGGGGCAGCTATGCCATATGCGACCAGCGGTGCTTAGTACCCCTGGGTCACGCAGATAGCTTTGCCGTGGTCAAGCACGCCTCACGGACGCAGCGTGCCTTTGGGGCAATAACGGGCACCTCACAGTTCTTTGCCTGGCGAGGAACTCTATCAGGCTATATCATGTTGTCTTGCTGTGTCGGGAAGTGAGCTCGGGAAGTGAGCTCGGGAAGTGAGCCCCCACACCCCCACACCCCCACCCCCCCCCCCACGTGACGACGCGCCTCGTTGAAGGTGACGAATCGGGGCGTCCGGCAGCTTTTAGCTGCGGAGCCGACGGAGCCAGGCGAGGAACGAGAGGACAGGTCACAGTCGATGATCTGACGGACACTTTGAAAATCTTTGAAAGGCTCAAAAAGGATCAAAGGATCAATATGGCTCAATGGACGAGGGCGACAAGCCGCCCCATGCCCCGTCCCCCCGGTACCTCAGGAGAGCCAGCCCTGACCCAGGAAGGATGGCCGCTGCATCTCCTGAACACGACAGCGTCACCCGTTCTTTGCATCATTTCGCATCCTTCCGGCGTTGTTCCATGCTGTGTCCTTTCAGCTACCGTGCCGGTGAGTCACATGTGCGATCATCTGCGCATGAGCCAGAGCGAGGGAAAGGGTGTGGTTGCTTTAGGTTTCGCATGCTTTTGCCTCAACTGGAGGGTCTCCTAGCGGCCCGCGGTCTGAGGACAATTGGCGACTTGACGCGCACAGATGCTAACTCAGATTGAACAACCTACGCCTGTGAAGCAGAGACCTACGATCGGATCAAATCGGGACTGCCTCCTCGACCAGTTGTCGGTTTGGGTAGTTTTCTCAAGTCGGGGGCAGGATCCTCCAAGAAACTTGAGTCTTTCGTGACAACCGTCTCGAGGACCCTCGGAAAGGTCGTAATGCTTTGGTGCTCAAAACCTTGTTCGGGCGGAGAAACCGGTAGGAAAGCGTGTCTTATTGCTCGCAGCCTGCCAACATACATTCATGGCTCTGAGGATTTTACTGTTGTTTTTGTGGTGATTGGCGTTCATCTGTCGGAAATATGAGCAGGAGACTCACGTTGCCCTCCGGCCTAGTCCTGTGCATGACGCTTCGGGCCGGCTTCTTCGTGTCCGGCGACAGTGGTCGCAAGGATTTGCAGGCCTGAGCGGGTGTCGCAGAGGGGCGCAGTGATCCAGAGGAAGACAGGGGACAGCTTGAGAACACAACCAAACTGGTGTTTGCGTGATTTCCGTTGAGCATCCAAGTCACAGCATCGCCTTTGTGATCGTCTGCGAGGTTTCGGAGCGAGGCTGGCAGCCTCCACTCGCACAGGATGCTACAGGTCGAGTTGAGCGTGCTTACACAGACCTCGGCTCTGTCAGCCAGCGTTCTCGGACGCATGGTGCCGTGAGCCGCCACTTCAGGTTCCTCAACTGCTGGGTGCGGAGGGGCTGGGTGCAAGTGACTGCAAGTGCAAGGAGGGCAGAAGCAAACCTCAACAAACGTGTCTCTTCTTTGCTGGGCACTGAAGGCGTGCACAGTGAACCGAACCCAGGTCAGCTGAGCGCGAATGGCTGTGAGGCACCTCGCCGCAACAATGCGCTTCTGTAAGCGGAGCACATTCAGCGAGCAAGCCCTTGTCACAACTGGTCATCCAAAGCGCAAGGAGCTTGAGGCGCTCCGCACAACGACATTTCTCTCCAGGATGGTGCAGCTTTCCTGGAGCAGGCAAGCTGGACCACGCAACAGCTACCAGCCAGACATCAGCAGCTTTCAGTTACTTGACCTCTGCAGTTGGGCGCAGAGCCGGCGTGGCGACTAGACCTAAATGGCCTCTGATCACAGTGGGCAGATGAGCCCAATGAGCCCAATACTGAGCCAGTCACGCGGGCACGGGTGCGGAATCGATCGTCTCAATGTCTCAGCCATGACCTTTTGAAAGCACAAGTTGGGCACAACAGATGTTACACATGCGTCCAGATGCATCTAGGAAGCTGCTGAGTTTTTTGTGTCTGCACTCGAAAGGACTGCGCGTGCATTGGGCAGCGAAATCATTGAAATTTTGGTCCGGCGTCCAATGCTGCATTGCAGTACTACATGCCGTTACGACCCACCGAGAAAGGCGGCCCCGCTTGCTCAGGCAATGCGACTCCCATTGAACGCACTGTCAGAGGCGACCCTGCGAAACGACGCCCGCAGTAGATTTACCGCCACCCACATCAGGAATTGCATGCGCACGTTGGGAATGACACTCTGAGCGCTGCTACTCTGCAGCGACTCTCTCAAGTACTCCAACCAGATTTCACCATTGTGCACCATCCGTGGGGCGTTGGAAGGCTGGAGAAGAGAAGGAACGCTTAAACGAAAGGCCTCACAGCAGGAAGGGGCGCCTTTCTCTGAGTGGACATCATTAGCGGAATGCGAACTCTGGATGCTGTGATGCTTAACTTACGGAAGTGCGCTTTTTTTTAAGTCGGCATGTTTCAAGCAAACAACCGAAATTGGGCCACAGCAATTACGGCATATGCACAGCATGACCCATAAGCGGCCCCAGAACGGCAAGCCTTCTCCAGCAGCACAGGCCCCAGGCGCAAGCTTTGCGCCATGCACTGAGCCAAATGGGCCACGATCGTCCATGTTACGTACGACAAAATGTGTTATTGCATGCGGGCTCGAGATTGGGGTCGAATATCAGGTCCCACACACCTGACCCAGGAAGCAAGCCTCCGCGGCTGCGCCGTCTGGCCCTGGGACATGACTCGCAAGAAGGACTTGCCTCATTTGACTGGCGAGAATCTCATACCTTCAAAGACATCCCACTGAACCGGGACAGACTGCTGAAAGCCAAGCTGCCATTGGCTTGCAAGGTAGAAGGTGTGCAGGGCTGAGACATGACTCACCTTATCCCAAAGACGTCCACCCCCCTCCCCCCGTCTTTCTTCCCCGACCCTGTTGTTTCAACCCCCCAAAGATATCCGTCTGCCATAAAGCCACGCTTAAAAGTTTGCGCGGACATGTGCGGCCCCATGTTGTTTTGCATGAAGGCGAATGCTTCCTGCGTGGTTTTTGCGTGGCTTTTGCTCGTGCTCGATTTTCTGTCCAGCACATCCCATGATGCACGTGGATTTCCTTCATCCAGACTGTGGCGTCGTCCGCAAGTGGCTTGGACAGGGACGCTGCTTGCTCCAGCTCGCCTGTGTTCCTGCGCTGCCGTTCGCACGCCTGGAAGCGTGACCTGCTATGCCGCTAGACCAATAGTATGATGGGGGGGGGGGGGGGGGTGTTGTCAAAAAAAAAGGTAGGGGCCCCCGAGCTGTGCCATGCTACACCATCCATATTTGCAACAGCAACAGCACCACAACGGCCTGCACCGTTTGGCACCCGTGCTGTTGCATAAATAACAGCTCAACATCCCAGTACCAGTTTCTTTACAGATCATGGAGAATTCGTGCAGCCAACACGCGATGTCTGCCTCCAGTGCTGCTGCTGCAAGCAGTGACTGAATCCTTGCGGCTTGTCTTCTAACTATTTCCAACTCTGCGCTGATCTGCACTACTGCAAAGTGCACTCTCATCGGTTCCAACTGCTTTCCGCGGCACTCTAGAGCTGGCCGCCAAGCTCGAGCATTGCGGACTGCGTCCTTCAGCAAATGCCATAAAGCATATGTAGCCGTAATGTAGCCATAATGTAGCCATATGTAACCGATGTCGTGTGTAACTTTCTGCGTGTCAAGAGGTGCGCCATCGTCAGCTTTGATCTGCACCCCTTGTTCGGTCCAGAACGGCATTGAAGCTCACCTAGGAGACCGGCTGGAATACACATGTGTGCTTGGCACCCGGTGTCATCTTCAGCAACAGCAGCAACAACAACAGCAACAGCAACACTCACACTCACCCCATCAATCAGTCAATCAAATCCTCAATCGAGTGGAACATCATGAAACCAATCACTCGGGTTTCAGAGCGAGCCAAACAGAATCAATGCACCTGTGCTTGGCGACTATCTTTTCGTAGTGAGTGGTGCGTTGCTTTCATCGTGCCCCAACGATCCGCACAAAGCCGGGCCACGATGTTCTTCTGCAGCCGCTGGACAGACAGCCGATTCAACAGCGCCCAAGCATGCTGCCACTGCCACTCTTTGGCACACACCTCAAGCTCGTCAGTCAGGTTGTCAGTCTCACCCCCTTTTGCCAAAAATTGGAAACTTAACTATTTTACTTCGAACATCCCCATCTTGATCCTCGATAGAAAGGAAAGAACGCAAATAAGATGCTCAAACAAAGACACATTGATTCAAATACGCTTTCTCAGTTCTTGTTTGCAACTGGGGTTAAGCACTCCATGGACACTCTGGGGTTGGGCACTCCAGGGACAGTCTGGGGTTGGGCACTCCAGGGATGAGCGAGGAGTAGACCGGGCGAGGAGAAGAGTTGAGTTTAAAATCTAACAACCCCACACCGAAGCTGGGGAAAAGCAAAACATGGCGTACCTAGGCATCCTAAGCCTGCGGCTCTTGATACATCCCCCATCTCAAGATAGGCGTGGGGCATCGATCAATGCATTTACGAAGAACGCATCCAGCATGCAGTCGCGCTTTGCTGCGCCTGCACCGCCGATGCTGGAATGCTGGATCCAGTTTTCCCCTTTCCCGTGCTAGCAATGCGCGGCAGTGGCCGAAATCCTGACTTCGACGAACCGGCAGGCCTAGCACCTGTAGCGCGCACTGCCAGTCGCTTCGGCAAGCAGTCAGCAGTGTCGCATAGGCGTGAGCACCTGCACCAAGACGCAGGGGGCACCAAACTTGAATGAGAGATACGGAGAGACAAAGAAACTGAGAGTGAGAGAGAGAGAGAGTAGAGAGAGAAAGACAGAGAGAGAGAGAGAGAAAAAAAAAAACAAGAAAAGGAAGGAAGAATGAAAGGCAAACTCCCCAGCCAGGAGACAGCAAGAAGCTTGATCAGCTTGGCCACTCGTCACTTGAATCTAAATTCTAGCGAACACGTAGAAACAAGCAGCCGGGGCGCTGCGTCGCGAATTTGGCCCCATCAGGAGCAGCATAGCTTCAGCCCAAGCATCGGCAAATACCTCCAAAGCCTCAACTCGCTGGGCGTGCAAGGAACCTCGTGCGAGCCTCAACCTGCCCTCCCCTGCAGGCCTCCCCCCTCCCCTCCATTCTGCGTTGGACTCCTTCAACCTGTCGGACGGCAGCCCTCCCCTCCTCCCCCCCCCCCATCGGGCCGTTGTTGGGATTGTCAGGCAGCAAGCTTTACCCCGCCACGCGTTGTGCTCTCTGCATCCACTGTTCCCCCTCAATGTTGACGGGTCGTTCAACGTCCAGGTTGGGTTAAACCTGTGGGCGTGGTGGCACCCATGTTTCTTCTTCTGTTCAAGCTCCATCATCGGCACACCCCCTCGGTGTACATGGTGCTTACAGAGCCTAATCAAGTGGGCGAAATGACTTGTTGAAAAACAATACCGTGCTTGATCTTTAGACAAGCATGCGGTTGTTATACGCAATAATGCTAAGTCAATGCTAAGTGTGTTCTCTTGATCCGCAAAATTATTCCATTATTCCTTCAAATAGCACTGGCAAAGTGCCCTCAAAGTGTCTGCTCAAGAAGGTGGTGTTCCCATGCGGTGTTTTGCAAGCGTGGAAGGCTCCCGTTCTGCTGGCCGCCCTTCGCCACGTCGCCTCCACACCATCACGCAGCCCATGGCTGCCCTCCAACCAAGCCCTGACCGTGCAGCCTACCCTTTTAAGCTCCTGACTCTCCCAAAAAACTGGGATGGTGGGTTCGGCGATCGCCTGCGCGCGCGCGCGCGTGCGATCGCAAGCAAGCAAGCAATCAAGCAACTTCCAGGCAGGGCGGGGCCCATAGGGCGGAGCTCTCTCACTCTCCCACTCTCCCACCCTCCCACTCTCCCACTCTCTCACTCTCTCACTTTCTCACTCTCTCACTCTCTCTCACTCTCTCACTCTCTCACTCTCTCTCACTCTCTCACTCTCTCACTCTCTCACTCTCTCTCTGCTAAAATCCAAGCAGCACTTGCATAGCTAATCTCGTCAGGCATCAAGGCTGTCTGGGTTACTTCTTGCCTGGGCAGGCGCGATCGGCAAACCCTTTCTTTCATGAGTATGAGAAGCATCAGCCGACATGCGGGGATGCGTGGGGCGAGCTTGGCGCTAATCCCACGGACATGCTCACCTCTTCCGCAGGCACCCCCGTTCCCCCCCTCCCCCCCGCCCACTCAACCAGCACAAAAGGGCAGGAGGAGGCCGCTGAAAGGGAATCCAGCCTAGCAGCTTCATCTTTGTGACTATAGCGGGAGGATGGTGCAGGATGCCAACCAGATTCAACAAGGGCTGCCGTCACTTGCACACAAGGCACAAGCCATGAAGCGACAGCTGCCAGTGAGAGCCCATGGTGTCCTGAGTCTTATATGTCTTGAGATCAGGCATTGGCTGGCTTTGACTGTGGAAGTGCATTGTCGAACACTGACTTTGAGCCTCAAACCTTCCACACAACGCTCATTGGCTCATCTTCATACCTCTCTTCATTCAATGGTCCTGCGTCTTCTCCGCTGTTCCTCTTCGGCCTAGCTCTCTGCGTCGCTTCCACACTCTCATGCTATCCTTCACCAGTGATATCCGATGATTCAACCAGCTGCCGAGCGTGAGAGCAAAGTGCAGAACAGCCTGCGCTGAACTAAGAAGCCCTGAAGCCAGAACATTACAAACCCTAAGTTCCGTGGTCAGTCCGTGGTCTTCCTACGTCTTAATGGCTGATTCATGCAACTTACTTGTGGCAGCCGAGCTTCCTTGGGAAGGCTGCGGCTGTGCAGAGCTGCGTCGCTTCGGAGTTCCCGACTGCGGAAGTCGGCGAGCAGCTGAACCTGGACCAGGCGAGACCGCAAGAGCGCAAAGCTTCGAGCCTAGTGGCGATGAAACCACCTGGAGCGAAAAATCACTTCGGCAGCAGCACGGTAGCCCCTATCCCATGCAAAGCAAGTGCAACCGCGCCACCGGCTCCTCCCATACCTTGCGAGATGCCGGACTATTTCTTTGTTCTTGCAGCAAGACGCTTCTTACCCTCCAGAAAAGCAGCAGAGGAGCTCTGCAGCGTTGGACGGCACAACTATTCTTCGAATGTTCTCTTCGGGCGGTTTAAGACTTGACCTGGACTTTCTTTCCTGTGCTTCCAGGCTGCTCGGCTCTTGCTTGCAGCCCCAAGAAGGGCGTCACAGCTGATGACGTCCTAGAGCTGTCGGGAAACTTCAAGCGCACAGCTTAATCTAACCTTTCTGATTACACACATGTTTGAAGCTGGTTTATCTCTGCTTGCGTCTGCTCTCGTCTGCTCGTCCTGCTGCACAGCAGCCGCCACAGCTTCCGCCAGCAATGTGAAAGCTGATGCCCAGCTGTGCCTCTAGAGGCGCGCAAAGAACCTTTGCTTCCTTCGTTCTGCCATCTGGGCAGGTTCTGTAGATCACGAAGATGTCTAAGATCCTAAGAATGTATGACACTGAGAGGTCGATGGCGCTGAACTGCTAATCGCCCCGGCGAGTAGGAACTGTTTAGCGGGGCATCAACCCAGCAAGTTGCCATCCATTATGTGTCTGTGTCGTTGCTGTCACATGCCAGCTCCTTCCTCCAAGTTCTGGAACCTCTTTTTGTGCACATAGCTAAGCTTGAAGAAAGACCGTGTACTATGGTGTCGCTTCAATGCTTACTGCTTGTAGTGCATGTGTCCCGAAAAAACCTCAGACTTTGCAATGCCAGCAGCTGCATAGGGTCTCTTGCAATTAATTCTGACTCGCCAATTGCCAGGTCTTGCAGGCAGGATGCGACTGACATCCCGATCATTCTCTCAAGCCGAGATACGTCTCGCTTGCCAAGCTTGCCGCGGAGTTAAAACTGATGGTGTCCCTCCGAACTTCCCTGGCAGAGGCGGCATGAGGCGACACATGTCGGCGTGAAGCAATACTGCAACAGGACGACGTCACACAGCAAGTTTGACAGCAACGTGCGACAGTCTGGCAGTTCTGAAGGCATGCGCCTAGCTGTGTGACGAAGCAATGACAAGGCCCGCTTCCATGAAAGGAGCCGAGATGCCAAAGCCTGAGTCTTGATCTGATCTTCATCCAAATAGGGTTTCCTTGTGGAAAACATTTGCAGGGCGTATCGTCTTAGATGTACCTCAATCTGGCACTGCGTTCCATTCTCTAGGGCGGAGCTTGAAGGCGGGGCTTGGGGGGGCTTGGGCTTGGAGGTTCGTGGAGGCGGGCCCTGGGACCCTGACTTTTTCGCAGCCCCCCGCGTGCTTTGCAAATGGCACGCTTGCAAACTTCATGTCCAAACCGTTGCAGTATGTCACGGGGGCAGATTTGGCCTGGTGGCGGCATTGTATGCTGTAACTCCTGCACGAAGTCCAAGGTCGTTGCAAGCACCTGGCGGGCTGCCACCTCCCTCCGTGACAACTTTGCAACTCTTCGCGACTTTGCTTTGACTGAACTTTTCGAGTGCCCGAGGATCTGCGTAGGCATTTGTATGGTTCTGCATGAAAGCTGCGCACCGGGGCTTCATCTGTACCGATGCCGCTGCAGTTGTGTAGCAGCCGACCATGAGTCTGCTGGCTGCTCTAACGTTCAATTTGACCCGAGGACTTTGCTGCGTGACCTCTGCTGACACGCTTGCCGCTTCTCAGGTCTTACATAACTTACCTAACTGAACTTTTGACACGGTGCTAAGAGTCGTCAACGCCCAGCGCCACCAGCTGCCTAGAAACGAACAACAGAGCTCAAAGTCAACTTCCGACATTCTGCCTTGAAAGTGTTGGAACAAGAGGCGCGTAGCTGCCACTGCTGCACCGACTGCTACCTGCATTCGCTGGTGCAACTTGTCACAAATTCCTGCTAGCTGCTGAGGTCTGTGACAGTCTGATCCCGTCTGATTGCGGCCAGTGTTTGCTGCAAGGCATAAAAAGCACGCGCGCCTGCTTCAGCACCACGCGCCTCGCCGATGCGGATGCAAGCAAGTCAAGCCCGCGGTTGGGCTGGTAGGGGCCAGCGGCCTGCACGTCGACACGCAGAAGCGTTGAATGGGGTGCCATGGCAAGAAGCACTCAGATTCACTCAGTTCACTCTCAGGGCATATGTTCACTCATGTTACTGGCATTTTCGCTCACGCTCAGTTCACTCATTCCGTGCAAATACGTGCGGAAGAAGTTGGCTTAGCATAGCAACTCTGACTCTTATCACATCCCTGCAGGCAGCAAGGAATTGATCCCACGGCACCTGCGCTGTCAGAGTGTACGTGATGGTGTCAGGCTGCATCTTCATTGCGTAGCCGGCCTTTTGCGACAAAGACAGATCTGGCTCGTGGGCGCGTGGCCAAGTCACAGGCAGACGTGGTCCGTGGTCGAGCTGCCTGAAGCCACCCCAAAGAGAAACGCCAGCTGTTGCTGCTGCAAGCCTGCGCAAGCTTGGCAGACTTCCCATCTTTCATATTGCCAACGAGGTTTCAACTTTCGTGCAGCCTTTCACGTTCTTCTCCTCCTATCTCACTCCGGTTCGTTCCTTCACGTCCTCTTCCTTGGACCTTGTTTAATCTACACTTGCTTTTGCTCTCCTGCTCGTTGTCTTCCTCTAAAGACTGTTCATTGTCTCTTTGACGTGACCGGAAGACTTTTCTGCCAGGACTCTTTGGCGTGTGCCTAACCAGGAACTGTCGTGCGGCAGCCGATTGGTTTCATAAGAAGTAAGCCCATCTTCTGCTTCATTGAAAGAAGTATCTCGGTGGGTAGGTTAGCACATACATCAAATGCATAAGTTGCAAACATGTTGATGCTCTCATCAGGTGAAGAATCATCATCAGATCAACAGTAGGCCGCACGACCACGGCAGCACACTCTATCCAACACAACCCTGGGACGCAGGCTGAATGCCAATTAACAACGTTTAACTGGAACATCCAGTCAAGAAAGTAGGAGAAAAAAAAAGCGAGCGACAGGGATAGAGGAGAGACATTGCCAGAGTCAGGCCAGCCCCACATCCAGCTGCCAAAGGGCCACCCAATACAGCCTCAACAGCCCCAAGACCGAGCAACTTGTAGCAGGGTGGGCCGCAGCCTTCAACACCCCGGGCTAAGGAGCTTCTATGCCCAAGACCACGCTTAGGGTTTCGGACTCAGGGTTTCTTTTCTCCAGGGTTTGAGGCTTCCGAAGCCGTATCTGCAATTTGTTTCTACCTGACCCCACGTCTTCCCCTCCGGCACAATCACAGGGACATAACGCTTACTTTCGACTCTCACACAGACGAGAGGGGTGGCTCATGGTGGCTTCTTATGCCCAACATCCAGTCCACCAAACTGCGCCTGTGCCGGTTTTTCGGTATTTGCACATGCAGACTGTACAACATCAAGGACTTTGCGTAGCCCGGCCTTGTCAAGGAATTTTCCGGTGTAAACGTGCGAAAGCATCGCGTCTGCGCAGCTTTTCGACATGTGTACATGTAACTTAGAACACACGCCCTGGCTCCACCCGATTAGGTGCACAAAAGGAGCCCTCGCGGGCTAAGTAGTATGGTGCGGGCAAAGCAGAGATTCTGGCCGAGTATCTACTCCCCAAGACGAAACCAATGCGACAACCATTTTGCACTCAACAGGCGTACCCAGCGGCCTGCAGCACAACATTTAAACTGACCTTGGCTGCGAATGACATGCAAGATGAGTACTGCAAGCTCTCCTGGAAACGCGCAGCTCATGCTCTGAAGTGGCTGCTTGAGAACTGAGATTTGACGATTGCAGGCACTTGAACTTGTTGAGGTCTAGGAGCCGTGTTAGGCAGTGCACGGGCTGCTTTTGCAGCGCCAAACAGCCAAGCTGAAAGGGACCTTGGTCTTGGGCTGCTGCAGCAATGCATTTGGACTGGTGACCAAGAGAACGTTCCTTGTCGACCGCTGCATGGCGAAGGGCCATTGCCGCATGGTGGCGCAGGCCGCAATTGCAGCATTGAAACCTCATTGCGGGCCACCCATGTTTCGTGACCCCCTTCCCTGCCCTCACTTGCTCATGTTCTGATGCGGCGGCAGCTGTGTCGCCCGTATTTCTTATCGTTGGGCACATCTCTAAAGCACCCCCTGGCATCAACATCCCTCTTCGCACTGCACGCGACCATGCGGGCTGTATATCACCTCCCCTGTCGGAGTCGAACATGCGCTTAGCAGACTTGGCGGTCCACGCAATATCGTGTTTTTTCATGTGATTGCCCAAGTTGCTGAAACTGTCCTTGCGCGGCATCTCCTCCGAGCACCAGTTCTCACAAGTCTCAGAAAGAAAGAGTGCTTCATGTATGCCACGAGATGCCACCTCAAGTCAGGTCTTGCGAAAGCAAATGAATGCAAGCAACGTCCGAGACAGACTCAGCGTATCCTCCAAACAAACCATCGCCAGCTGCCAGCTCCTGAACTTGGAGCCTCAACAGCGACACTAGCGACCACCAGCGCGCATGCTGCATTTTTGGCCATAGCACTTGCCCTCAAAACAAGTCGTGCAGCAAGGACACACTTCGCCAGAATGGTGTTGTAGTGGTAGAGAGATTGCTCCACACCTTTTTTCCGGCACGAGATAGCTTTGCAGCTGGTAGAAGGCTTACTTCCTAGTCCCAATCTGATTTTGGACCCCAACCGAAGCCTCGATCTCCTCTGACATTGCGAGCAAGCAGCCGCCATTTCTGGCTGGAGTCGGGCGCATCGAGCACTTGCAGCGGCAGCTTGCCGACCAGCCATCTCCATTGCAGACCGTTGAGTCTATCTCTGCGCCAAGCCCCACCCCACTCTAAGTCAACCCATATGTGATTTACAGAGATTTCCAGAAAGGGAGGCATCATGGGCCCGGGAGGCAGGTAAAGTCAAACCATATACCTGTATGAACCACGAATGCGATTTCGGCCGAAAGGGCAGCACTGCAAAGAGGTGCATGCAGCAGTTGTCAGCATGAATCTGAGCTCCGGTATCTCGTTGCACTTTATCCAAGCGAAAGCTGCATTCAAGCAACAGCTCGAAAACTCATGGCTTGCAGGGAGGGTAACCAGGAAACCTTCCTGCCGCGTGAGGTTCCGCATGCAATCGAAAATCCTGAGAGAGCGAGAGACGAGAGAGCGAGAGAATGCGAGAGAGAAAGAGAGAGAGGATTGGGGAGCATTTGGGAGCATTACCAAGCAGTACGAAGCAGAGTTTCTACTTTCTGCAGGCCTGGCAGAAACCACCGTACCCCAAACAGGCACAAGGGCCGTGCAAACGTGAAGGAATGTACGCTCATGAGTCAATAGCTGAGAGGTGAAGAGAGTTCAAGAGTCAATTATTGAGGCGAGGAATCCTGTCTCAAGGTTAAGGTTGAGGGAAAGTGCACTGGTGGATGGTGGATGAACACGAGTGAGATAAAGGATGCGAACGCCTCAGTCACTATGCTGTTCGTCTGCGAAAAGGCCCAACAGCTGGATTGTGACAAATGAGACGTGAGATGTGTCATGGCTTGCAAAACCTCAACTCGAAACTCTAGCACCTGCACACAGCAGCTCGTTCAAGCTAAACCTTCACGGAACCTTGATGCCAAGCTGCTCAGGCTTCTGGTAGCCTGTACAGTGGACGCCGTCACCCTGAAAGACGACAATTGCATTTTGCACCTGCCGTGCATGCTGCGCCGCACCCGTTTCTGTTCGTCAGGATGCTCAGAATGCACAAATCATGAATCCACTATGACGTCAATCCTGGGGTATGGCCTCTTTGCAGTTTAACTCTCGAAGAAACATCAAATCCTGCAGAGTGCAGTACACAACCCATGCGTGCACAAGTGCACCTGTGGGCACCGTGTGTGTGTGTGTGCGCGCTAGCGCGCATGTGTGTGACGGGATGTCCAACGAAGAGTGCGGCACATATTGATGTTGATAAAAATGTTCAACGTCATCTTTCTGTGAAGACCTTTCGATGCAATGACCATGACCGTGCTTTAAGTCACATGCACACGCGCCTAGTATGCCCTGTCGTTGCCGTGTTGTTGTCCGCTGTCATGAGCCACGTCCAGGAAAGAGCCACCGTCTCCCCAAGGGTGTCTGACAAACTCTCGTCTACGCTATCCGCTTGACGCTGTGCCCATACATGCCTTCAAGGTAGCCGAACAATCACCAAAGACAATGGTGCTAGTGCTCATCAGACTTGCCATGGTTTTGTCGCAGCAGCAATCTCCTCCACAGACATCTGCGACTGCACAACGCAAGACGTAGGTGTCCACCTCATGAAGCAGAAAGATGGGACTCCAAGGACGGGCCGTTTCTTCTCCAGAATCTTAAGACTGCGAAGTACCCAAGTGACAAGCTCGAAAGAAGACGAAAGAGAAGGCAGCATTGCCTCAGGAAAAGCGGGCACGATCCCCCAACCCACCAACCACAAAGTTCTCCCTAACCACGGAAGCTGCGGAAGGAAAAGGAACTCAGAGGCAGGCTAAGCAAAGAATTCGCATCCTGCTTCGCATCTTGCGAAGGTCTCCAGCCTAAAGTGGATGTCTTCCGAGCTTTAGCTGCCAAAACCCACGCGTTCAAGGCATGCAGCCAATGTTCAACTGAACAAACTTTGCTGAAATGTCGGCATTTGTACTCCTGAAAAATCACTGGTTCTTCTTGCTTGAGTTCCTGGCATGCACAGTGCTACCTGCATTCCGGCTCATCTTGCCATCCCCTGAGAAGTTGCCGGACATCATGGGCACAAGGCTTTGAGAGCTCTGTCCCTTCGGTTATATACACCTTCTCGAAAGTGAAGGTGTGAAGGATATTGAAGAGTTGCTGCAGCCCTGGCAGGACCTCAGCTTCACGGCAAGCATCGGCTTGGAACCCCCGATCTAGCGACCTGTAGAGCACCAAGCTGCTTACCCGAATCGTGCTGACTTTGAGGTCGACACTTGGTAGCCTGAAAAACCATGCCATGCGAGCTGGCTTTGAGATAAAGAAAATGAGCTTCGGTAATGCGGTTGAACGGATGATCTCTCACGTGCGTCGACCGCTGATGTTCACGGAACTGCTGCATCTCAAGATCATGAAAACAAGATCAAAAGATTTGCATCCAGCGAAAGCGATGAATCCAAACAAAGTTTTCGCCGTGTTGTGTCATGTTCGTCTCGCATCTGACCCCTAGCTGGAGTCATGGGAGGTCCAGTCCTGGATGTCACGACAGTCCAACCTGGATCCTGCATGCTGCATGCTCTAGCACATCCCCACAACTCTGGTGGCTTCTTCGTTCTCGACATCGGGATGCTCGACCTTCCTTTTGGATAGCAAGCCAATGATGAACCACTTCGACAGGTGTCCAACGCATGAAATTCAATGCATGTTGATCTTACTTCTTCTCATGTCCACACAAGACACCGTGCAAACGGACTGCCTGTCGCGGTGCTGGAATAGATCCAAGATTCATCATGCTGCCGATGCTATGTACACATGCACTCTAAGTGCAATGGCACGGCGCAATGCTATGCCTCAAGCATGCCTCAAACAAAAAGAAACAGGCATACAGAAACGCTCTCCATTCCATCTGAAGGTTCCCGCACGGCTTGAAGAATCTACCAGCGCTTAGGTGTACGGCACATTGCTGGGGCTTTTGGTATTTTGCGAGACTTCGGAAGCCGTTTCGACGGGCGAACAGCAAATGATCTTGCTGTAGCTTGCATCTGGTACGAGACTCGCTTTACGCAGCCGGCACGGCCGGCGAAAACACAAACATTCTCAATACAAACCTTCATGTCACAGCTGTGTTGCTGGCCCCAGGCCCTGCTCCGCCTGAATGGCTAGGCTTCAAGCTTTCAAGCTTTCAGGCTTCGGCCGCACACCGCACAGCTCCGGCTTCCAAGTCACGTGAAAACTTTCTGCAATTTCGACTAGAAACTAGCTTCTTCCATGAAGCCAGTCCGAGCGAAGTACGCGCAGTCTGCCGAAAACCGCGCAAGCATACTCTCGCACTTGCAAGAGAAGCACATGTGGCTTACATGGCGGCCCAGTAATACTCTCATGTCTAGTTTCCACACAACTTGTAGAAAAGTGGTGTAAAAACTTCACGTGGAACTGGCATTTTTAGCGAAAGCGTAAATGAAGTGGGCTGTAGCTCTTCGCAGCCATCTCTTGGCTGCGTGATTATCCCTTAGCTGCCTTAGCTTGTCAGGTTCCCCATTCTATTTGGCTGCTAATGTTGCAACATTAACGCATGCTGGCAGGCGCTACCTGAACAGACACGACAGAAACAGAAGCACTAAACGAACCGACACGTGAAGCCAACGAAGTGATTTGCTGGATTCAGAAGGCAGTTGGAGCGCGGGAGCGAAGGCAACCCGAACGAGAACCATCTTGAACTTGAACACGGCAACTGTCATGAATTGAACATAGTTCAATGGTGGAGAACTTCTTGACTACTTTAGTTGGTACTCTTTCCTTTCTTGTGTCGATTTCCATGGATTCAATGTGCGCATAGGAAAACCTCTGTACAATCGGAAACCTCTGTTTCCACTACATTTTGTTTGGGTTGGCGGAGGTCTTGCTTTTTTCTGGGTGTGGCGGAGCCACTGCTCCCACTTTCCGCCCACATCGCTGCCCCCTCCTTCCTTACCGTCCTCGGAACATCCTTCCGTCGTGCCATGTCCTGGAATGTACAAGGAACCAACTAATGAATGCTCTCGGTGGACCTGACAGACCATCAGCCTCCACGAACACAAGGGGAATCGAATAGAAAGCGTTCAAACTCGGATAAAGGTCGACTCGATCAGCACAAGAAAATGTAAGCGTCCCTAAACCCTACCGACTGACACGTAAGGGCATTGCCTAATGACGCCCTCCTTGATGAGCACAGAGGCTTCTATTTATGGCGGCATTTCACCAAAAGAAAAAGGGGACTCAATCTTAAACGACCCGCCCTGAACTCTTCCCGCCAAAAGATCGATCCAACATGGGCCGAGGTTGCCTGGTTGAAACGTTGCAGGCAGGCTGCAGGCTCTAAACGTAAGCAGGAGACACTCACAGGCACGGCTCAGTTCACCACCACCTCAGAACGAGACGAGGTGTTTTCCCCATCTGAGGAATGCTGCCAGTACTTGCGCGCGTGCATCCTCAGATGTAAACCGGGCATCGTGCCAAATCGTCTTGTTCGGTGATCTCATCCAAACTGCCGCAGTATGTGGGCTGCCTGTTATCTGAGCTTTCATACGAAGAGCTTGAAAGCTTCCAAAAAGGCCACCAGCAGCCCTGAGCAACCCTGTCCTCTCCAGCACCTCGAAGACCTGCTCCCGTGGACCTGCCCACACGCTCAGCTCCAATCAATGGGAACGCACGCCGCACTAATCACATTGGACTACCGCTGTAATTCACGGACCACGAGGTTCTTCTTTCGTGCGTGCACAATCGGCCCCGGCAGGAAAAGCCTTCAGTGAGTCGATCGCACAGCGACATAAACCTTGCATGTCCCGTTCAGGCAAGAAACTGCGCCCTTGCGGGTAAGGTTAAAGGATTTCAGGTGAGGCCATCGGTAGTAGAAACCACGTGATGCCTATCAGCTAGGTCGTCCCGAATGCCTATTTTCGAGTGTAGGGGGAAATACTAAAGTTACTAAAGCTGATGAGGGCTTAGGAAGACGCTTTGAAGATGCTTTGAAGACGCTTTGAAGAAACGCTGCTCGGCTATGATTTTGCGGCGGCTCGCTGAAGCTTCTAAACGTGCTCCTCAAAAACTTCCCAAGCCTCTGAATTCATCAAAAACCCTCCAATCGCTTTACACTAGGTCACTAGGGGGCTTCGGTGCTTGGATCTCGATGTCGGGTCTACCGAACCGCTTCTTTTCAATTCTGCACAAGGCTGGAGCGATGCCGAGATCAAAAAACTCAGCCTGGCACAAGCTTGGCACCCTGCTGCTTTAACAGTAGAGCTGCCGATTTGCCCATCTTGACTTGTGTCCAATCTCCGGTGCCATCATCTATGGCATCTCCAGGCATACTGTCCATGGTCAGTCTATACCAGGCATGGGCTTCTTGAGCGACAGTGGTCTGCTTCCCGTTGTCCGACCATCTGAAAATATGTACCTGGAGATGTGGACGCAAAAACAACGTACGCATGCATGGAGGAAGCGGGCAAACATTGCATCAGCCAAAGCACAGAAACCAGTATGCTCCCAGAACCTGCAGGCAGTGCATCGAGGATGCACACACACACGCAGACACACATGCAGACACACCGACACACCGACACACCGACACACAGACACACAGACACACCGACACACCGACACACAGACACACAGACACACAGACACACAGACACACAGACACACAGACACACAGACACACAGACACACAGACACGCAGACACGCAGACACGCAGACACAGACACAGACACTACTCGCGCGCACACACACAGACACACAAAATGAATACATGATTAAAAACCCTTCCTCGTGGCACGAACTGAAGAGATTGACATGCTCAAAGCATGTCCAACATCAACAGTCTGCATCCAAGAGCCGGACTTTGGAGCGCAGATTTGGAGAGATGATTCTGAGAAACGCCCTCCGATCTTCTAAAGCTGACAAGTACGTGGATTGAGCATCCCATACCCAGGTTATGAAAAGAACTGCAGTTCTTCGTCGGGTGCCGATTGCAGAACTATGTACGACTGCCGCAGGTCTCCACACAGACAAATCGGCCAAGCAAGAACCAAGGCCAATTTCGATATCGCAACAAGTTGCCCAAAACTCCGAAATGTGGACACAGGTCCGGTCACACACACACACACACAGAGACCTACATACAGCAAAAGATGTTCTCGGCGGCCGATGGAAAGTTCAAAAGTCTTCTTATCTGGGGGTGCGCAGCATGTCTGTCTCAGCGAAAAGTTCCCCTGTTGCAGTTCCAACCCCTCTGCTCCTTCATGTCTCTTGCCAAGCCATTGAAGTCTTGCACCCATCCGGTCCCCCAGCACAGCAGCCGCCCTCTCAGCACGTCCTGGGCTGAACATTCGTGGGGAACGTGCAGCAAATGCCAAGGGTAAAGAGCTAGTTGAAATGCGAACATACAATGGCACATGACGTCTTACACGTTGCCTTTTGAATGAGATTGCCGGACACAACTGAATATCACTCAGGGATTGGGCGTCCTTTCTCCGAACTCAGTCTGTCTCCTTGGAGGCATTGCGGCTTTGAGCCCCTGAGGGCCAAAGGTCGAAGGGGAAGATGTAGTGAGGTACAGTCAGTATAGTCCGGTTCACTATAGGAACACGAATTGCTGCCCTGCTCGTCGTTCCTGAAGCTCGAGTTAGTAACTCTGTTGTCGGGGTACTCTTAATCTTCTTCACACTTCCAGCTTAGAAGGCTCTCTCTTTCTCTCTCTACGCACGTCTTTGTTGAAAGAGTTGCTGCTCCTGAAGCTCATGGTTGGTAGAGCAACGCGGTTGACGACAAGAAACACATGATAGATAATGATAATTCCACCCAGACAACTTTTGGTGGAAAAGAAATGCGCCCACATCAGGTACACCCACTTCGGATGCTATGCCTTCGCCACTCCTTCGTCGCTTGGCGATGCATCTGCCAAGGGGCAAGGGGCACCTGCCGACCCGTGCCTCGCCAATCTGCCTTCGCACGGTGCCGGATTCTTGTCGCTGCTAGGTTCCCAACGGTTCCCATTGAGTGTACCAGTATGAGGTCATAGTCTCATGGTGCTCAACAGGCTTTCAAGAATGGGGCATTGCCCATTTCCCCAAGCCTGCAGCTCATTGGCATATGCTGTGGTGCAGGCAGCCATGTACGCGGCACTCTCGGCCACCTCGGCTGACGGCGCCGCGTAAACTCACAAAGTACTGGCTCAAACATGCTGCAAGCACAGCAGCCTGTGCAGACTGCAACAGGTCAGTATGCCACAGGTCAAAGTCTTGAACACACAATTGTGCCATGCCTCTCATGACTCTAGTGTGAATCTAGCGCGACTGCAAGCACACAAACAGTTCAGCGCAACACTTCACGAGAGACACAAGGCCAGGTCACCTCGTCCTTCTCTCGGACGTTATCGTTGTTGGGAACTCGAGTGCCACTGAAGCGGATCATTTGCCAGGCCCGGCTCATGTACTTGGAGCCTGCTCGACAGTCGAGAGGGGGATTTTAGGCACAAATAGTGCACTAAATGAGCTGTGGCATGCTGTGGCCCTTTCAACGTTTCATTGTCCCCTGAAACTCGCAGCCTCTCGCGCGCCTCTTCGTGGGGTGCTGCGCACGTGTTCTACGCGGGTTGGCGCTGACGCAGGCGATCGCGGGAAAAGCTGAAACACTATCGCGAGCTATCGCCCGCCCTCGCGACCAGAGCTATCTCGCAGAAACTATCGCGCACTCGCGCTCCCCGCCCCGTAGCTGACGCGGTCCAACCAAAGATCGCCCCCCGTATCTTATATACTCCTTGAGGGGTTTATGCCACCTCTCCAATGCCTTCATGATGCCAACTGCAGGTCGCACCGTCGATTGCTCGCCGTCTTATTGCTCGCACATCATCTTGTGATTCGGGTTGCGTGTGGCGACGCATGCAAAGTATCAACCACCCCAAGCTGGAGGTAGCAGGAGAGAACATTCGGCCCATCAGGCGGCCTTCGACAAGGAAGTGGAAGAAGGGAATACCTCAGCATGAACTTACAGCTCACAGGCTTCATGCCGAGAAATGGAGAAGATACCGTGGCACCTGAGGCCGGAGTCCGGAGGCCTTCAATTTGTGAAACTATGCATGGGTTGCTACTATCCTCCAAAGCTTGCCAGCTCCAAGCCAGTGCCACACGGGAAGCGACACAACACAAATGCGTAAATTACTTGGAGTGGTAGCATCGCCGCTGCCTTACTCATCGCGTGCCCTTACTGCCCGCCCAACCCACACTCCCCTCGGAGGATGAAGAGAGACTAAGAGAGAAATCAGCGGCCAAGGGCTTGGGATATTGCGGGCAAGTGGTTCTACCTGGGCCACTCTGCTGCAGCACTGGGCAAAACAAGCGGACGTTTCGCGACGTTTCCATACCGCATGACCAACAACCTGCAGGACCTTGTGGCTTTTTGTTGTCTAATCGCTACACGAGCCACATTTCTGGGTCAATTTCTGTTGAACTGCTCCATTATATACGCTTGTTTACAAGCCCAACTTCTCATCCAAAACACTGGTCCGTGGCACGCACTCTGTCTCAGAGCTGTCGTCTCGCGAGGGCCACGCAACACCTGCGACAGATCGGACTGTTTAGCAGAGCTTAGCTGCCAATCGAGCAACGCAGACCTATTCAAAACAAAGAAGGTGAAGGGAGCCTTTTGTCGCGTCCAAGTCCCTGGAAGCCCACGCGGCGAAGCCCACGCTTATTGGTCGCAAGAAGACTGAACAGACAACCCTCGGCACATCCCGGCTTCTTTCTGCGAACAGCTGCAACTGCAGCTTGCACTCATGACATTATGCCATAGACCGCTTCTTGAGACACCTCACTGGCTGGCTGGTGTAGACAGCTCATCACTACCAACGCCGGTCCAGTGGCGGCTTTGTGCAGCCAAAGGCGCACAATGAGCAAAGCTGCGAGTCATCACACTGTCCTGTTGTGGCAGCCTGCACACCACACACGGCAACTGCTGTTGGCAGAAGGCTTCGCAAGATTTTTGGCGCCTCACACATCTCGGGCTGCCGGCACACGATGTCAAGCTTTCTGGCAAGTTCCTAAGTCCAGGATTCAGTCGACAAGTCCTACATGTGCTGCTTAGAGATGCGGTCGACTCAACTGATTTTGAATACTACCATTCATTCCCTGGCTTTTGGCACAAGACTCCTTCGAACTGAGATCAGGGAAAAAGTGGCGCGCTTTGTCTTCGGCATCCTTAAACTCCTTTCATGCCAAGTGACGCTATCACAGCAGACCGCAGCATATCACAGCATACAGTCAAAAATCCAATGTGTTGTTACTTCTGGTGCGCCTTGTGGTTGTGCGATAGCTCTTTGAAGATGTCTGCCAGGTTCTCCAAGAGGGAATCCAAGAATCCCGCCTTGCCTTCGGAGACTTCGGAGACTTCGGAGAGCTGAAGAGAAGTGCTCAGTATGGCACCGTATTCAACACTCTGACTGTTTCTACCCTCCTTAAACCACCGTAGCTTCCAGACCCGTGGTGGATGCTAGTGTGTGCGTGTGAGCATCTGTGCCGGCCCAGATGCTGATTTGCAGCTCACATGACGAACCATTCCTCGGGTCTGGAAGATCTGGCGCGCGGACACTGCGCGGAGCTAAAACGGCAAGAAGATCCGAGAGAGCCATACCTTGAGATGTTCCCGCCTAGGCACAGTCTATCTTTCTGTTTTTGTTTCCGTCTCTGCATTCTCTGGTGTGCTGTGTTTGTGCTTCCCTTGGTGCTTTTTCTCGTGCCTCTCGTTGTGTGTCTCCCCAGGCTGGGTAAGTGCTGAGACCTTCTGCTTCGTACAGCTTTCAAGCAGAAACAAGAAACTGCACACCGTGGTCGACTGGAAGGTCGACCACTCTTTGCGCCTTTTGCTCGTGTTGCCTCAGGAATGATGTTCAAGATGATCAACTGGAAATTTCTCTGCCAATAAAATACATTAGATGCATGAGGCGAAGGCCAACCGCGGCGAACTTCCTATTCTCTGGATTCGCGAGATTACAACTAAACGCCTGGAAAACCGCCAGTTGAAAGATCCAAGGCAGCCCGAGGGTCACGCAAGGCTGCAATAGGTTCAATTGCAGGCGGCCAACCACAGAATCAAAGGCACCCTGGGTCCAGTACGTCTCCTTAACTGCCATCAGACATGTGTCTGACTCCCAAAAGTGATCAAAAGTGCTGCGCTGGGCATCCAAAAATCTCCCGCCAGAGCACGATACCGTAGGCCAGGGACTCCGTGATCGACCGGCGCAGTTGGGCACATTCTGAGGCACGGAAGCGACCCACCCCCATGCAACGAATCACAGTCCTAGTCCTAGCTAGAGAGTCCTACACTGCTGAACTCCAAAAAGGCAGAAGGACACACTCGCAACGAGGAAATGCTGTTTCAAGGTGCTATCCAGGAGTCGGCTGAGCCTCTCGGCTCGTGGTCCACTGCGGGTCAGCTGTCGCTCCAAAGCATACACACGCCTTCGCACCGTGACTCAGGTTGAACGACCCACATCCCACAAAGTGGCACTTACTGACTGGTAGCATCCACGCAGAGCTGACTTGCTCTTCCCGTCCGAAGGTCGAGAGCTTCTCCGCATACATCATGTTGCGCACCATGATCTGATCCTGCCATAGCCGCGAGCTGACCTGACAGCCACAAGATACGGCGCTTAAGCTCAAGTGTTTCAATCAGCCAGCGCTGCCTCCTTGCCAGGAAGCAGTTCACGGGCACGCTTTGCATGTGACGCCAGAAGGTTTGACATGATGTCTCCTGGGCGACGCCATAAAGTCAAGAACCAGGCACGACTGATCGCAGCTGAAAGACAACAGTCGAAAAGAGAACTGCTGATGCGATGTTAAATGCCAAGTGGCTTGCTGCACGCGTCAGCGCTTGGATTTTGGAGTACAAAGGCGTCATTTCCTGCAGGATGATGGCGCGGCGAAGCTGGTGCCAGAACTCGCAGATGGGTGTGCACACAAGTTCACCTCGGGCAGCACACTCTGTACACCATGTCTGCCATGTCTGTGGTCGTAACAGTAGCTGTGGCCATCGTAGAAATAGTAGCTGTTGCTGTAGAAGTTGTAGTTGGGGACGCGCGCCCGTGGCGCCTGTGTTTCGCTTGAAAACATGCTGAAAACATCAATAGTGTTGGGATCAGGGTATGTTTCGCGGGTATGTTTCGGGGTATGTTTCGGGGCATGTTTCGGGGGTATGTTTCGGGTATGTTTCGCGGCATCATGAGCTACTTTACCTGCAATTTCGGGGGTATGTTACGGGGTATGTTTCGGGGGCATGTTTCGGGGTATGTTTCGGGGTATGTTTCGCGGGTGTGCAACCCGTGTGCCCTTCTTCAACCTGGACCCCAAAAACAAACACAAACCCATATTTACGCTGTCTTTGCTTCTTGTCACATGCCCCGAAAAAAAGGCTCCAGAGGCAATCGCTCTCCGAGAAACGTTCCGGCACACCATTGTGGCAGCAAAAGTAGACCATGCCAACACCACGGTATTAACAGCATGTTTGCCTCCTTGTATCCCTCTTCTAAGAGCAGTTCACGGCAAAAATGACATGCGGTGAAACGCAAAAATGCTCAAAAACCCACACGAAATGCACGTCATTGCCACCGCAAGCACAGGCACCTGCCGCGCACGTTGAGGAGGAGCAGTAGTAGTAGTAGTAGTAGTAGTAGTAGTAGTAGTAGTAGTAGTAGTAGTAGTAGTAGTGGTAGTGGTAGTGGTAGGAGTGGTAGGAGTGGTAGGAGTGGTAGGAGTGGTAGGAGTGGTAGGAGTAGGAGTAGGAGTAGGAGGAGTAGTAGTAGTAGTAGTAGTAGTAGTCGTCGTCGTCGTCGTCGTAGTCGTAATCGTAGTCGTCGTTGTAGTCGTCGTAGTCGTAGTAGTCGTCGTCGTCGTAGTAGTAGTACTACTACTACTAGTACTGGTACTAGTACTAGTACTAGTACTAGTACGAGTAGTAGTAGTAGTAGTAGTAGTAGTAGTAGTAGTAGTAGTAGTCGTCGTCGTCGTCGTCGTCGTCGTCGTCGTCGTCGTCGTCGTCGTAGTCGTAGTCGTAGTCGTCCTAGTAGTCGTCGAAGTAGTAGTAGTAGTAGTAGTAGTAGTAGTAGTAGTAGTAGTAGTAGTAGTAGTAGCAGTAGCAGTAGCAGTAGCAGTAGCAGCAGTAGTCGTAGTAGTAGTAGCAGTAGCAGTAGCAGCCCCTCACGGTTGCCGACACATAGTAGAATTGTTTTGGTGGCTCGTTCCTGCTCCTGCTTCTGCCGCTTCGTCTAGCTAGCCGCTTTGTCTTCACTCGATTTCTGTCGTCTGCAGTTTGCTCGCAAACCAAGATGGGAACACCTCCACAACCACCAATTCCTGTGAAATTGGTGCCGTCATCCAATGTGGTGGCAATATCAGCCTGAGGACAAGCTTGGAGAAAGGCTTGGATTGAGTTGGCAACAAGTTCCACGGTGATCTGCGAGCAAACTCTCCAGCCTCCTCTGCGGAGGCGGTACTGCATGCAGCTATGCCGCCTACCCCGCAAGCAACGTGAGAAGGATGAACAATTCGGCTGTTTGCAGCTACACTCACTAATCAAGCAAGATGGTCAACGTTGCGGCCCAAAACCCGAACCCCCGACCCGCCCTCCGGTCCCTACTGACACCAATGCAAGTCCTTCCCAAGCATGCAATGAAAAATCCGACGCGCAATCCAACAAGCAATCCGACGCCTTCACGTCCATACTCTCGCAAGTAATATAGAAGCTTGGCCATGCCAAAGCTGTGTTGGTCTTCCGTGTCCTACACTTTCGACACGTTCAAAAACCCCCTGCAAGGATGTAAGAAAACAGCGGCTTCACTTTGAATTTCAAGTGGCCATGCCGGGCCAAACATGTCTGACTTGCTTTTGTGGCATCTCCTGTTTGGGACTACACTGTGGCTAGCTGCTGGCTCTGGCAATGCTTGGCAGCAAGGTACGGGCAGCAGGCGCCAGGCTACAGCTGCCGAAGCGACATCAGTCGAAGGAGGGGCCCTAATTGCCGGCCCTACCATACCGAATAATCAAAACCTGACAAGTCCCGGCACATGACATGCGAAGGCTTGACAGGGTATCCAAATCATCAAGGGCATCCCTGGCATCCCCGGCATCCTGCGCGCCGATGCCATCGCCACTGTGTGGGTTGTCAGCGGCGCTGAATCTTCGAAGTCGCCAAGAGGAGATGTTGTTCCTCAAGGACCACACACACCAAGAGCCCAGAGGAGCACCGCAAACACCACTACACCATTACACAATTGAAATCAACACGATCAGCCCCCTGGGTCTTCTGGTACATGCCAGCGATATCGTACGGTCATATACCGCTGCTCGATGCACACTGTGATTCCGAGCTTCGGGTCGCGGACTCCAGTGTACTCTTGGACCGCATGACAAGGCTTTTGCAGCTCCCCCGGCTCCTGCCGAGTCGAGGCGCTTGTGTGCTGGGGACTGGCGCCCGAACTCGCCCCAGAGTCTAACACATCAAAACTTCCAACAGGCAAGGCGGGTCACCGCAGATGTCGTCCCAGAGTCATATGTGCCCGGGGTGGCCTCGGGCAAGGATGATGACTGTTGCTGCATGCCAACCAACTTGCCTGCAAGACTTGCTGTTGACCAAGTCGCCTCAAACCATGCGAAACCGTATATGTTCGTGTCGAACTTTTCGGCGGAAGTCATGCCAAGACCTGGATCACAGCAAACCATTCCGCTCAGACGCTTCCAAAGTTGCACGCGCGCAAGGGATGAGAGCTAGCAATGGCATGTAACGCCCGACGTGCGCAGTCTCAGCCCACGGCCATCTTGGGCCAAACCCCACGCTGACGCAAACTCTTCATTAAATCCTGAGGCATCTCCCAGTCAAACATCAGCACGACTGCAGGCTGCAAAGTGCTCTTCCTGTCTTCCTCCCTGGGGCTGTCATGTCTGAAAAAGAATGCCTTTGCTCAAGCTGCTAGGTAGTGACAAGTCGCGCTTGACCAGTACATCTGGCCCAGAGTTGGCAGTTGTTTTCGCTGCCGTGACCGACCTGCAGCACATCACACAGGGTGGGCACATGGCCCATACACTAAAGGCTCGTTCTTTAAAGTCTTGAAGTTTGTTTTTGCGGTTACTTGCGACGAGTTACCTAGGCTTTTGTTTGAGCTGGGCAGAAAGGTCTCAGACGCACGTGCAGCACAAAGACACGTCAAGATCGCTTGAAGGCTTCGTGGAGCCCATGGCACTGGCAGAGCACTGAGGGCACGCGTGCCTCAGATGACCGTTGTTTTACCACAGGTTGTTCCGCGATGTTCCAAGCATCAACTTTTCATCGTCTCGCAAGCATGTTCAGGCGCCGAAAGTGCCCAGACAATCTAGTAGCCCTGTTGGTGAAAACCATTGGGAAAAGTCTGGAGACAGACTCCGGACCCGAGTGCAAACAACCTGCACTGCAAGAAGTGGAAAGGCCTTGGAACCCCTTGGAACCTGTGTCTTTTCTCCCTCGCGTGCTGCGCACCTTGAAGCTTCCTGTAGCCCTCTATGCAAGAGCAGTACATGTCCATCCTGCAGGCTTGAGATGTGCGTAAAGACGAGTCATGCTGGTTGACAGAGGTGCTGGGAAAAGGATCTAGCAGTGTTCAGAAACGTGGAGGGGTGGTAAGAGGTAAAGCATAGTGAGACAAAGGCCGGAGGAGAGTTTTTGAAGCCAAGCTTCCCAGAAACCAAGCTTTATCGAGGCTCCCCGAGAACGGGTGAAAGGAGTGGAAAAAAGTAGCCAACCCTCGGCCTCAAGGGTTTCTCCTTCCGCTTCTGTTACTTCTGTTGAAGTTCGTGCCACACAATCATCCCCGCACACCTTGTCGGGCGTGACAATTTGCAACATGACATGTTTCCTGCAGGCAAGCGGTCTTTGCATTGGACCTTCAACGCTTCTCCCCACCTTTCCCAACTCCAAGTGTTCACACAGTCTTGCAACGTGCAGGGTTGTTTCACGGCACCACTTGACTGACGGAAGAGATGTCCTCTAAGAGTGCTCTTGTTTGTCTTGGCACAGCAGTTTAGCTTGGCAAAGCTGTCACAGAGGGCAGGCAAAAACTCAGGCAATGTGCGGGAAATGAAAGCAGATGAGCATGCCGGGGTCAGGTTTGGGCAAGGCAAAGCCAAAGCTGTGCAAACCAGCACACATGGCGACTGTCATTTTGTCTGCAGCCCTGGCACATGGCCGTGAAGCAGAGCAAGTCCGCAACAAACTGTGCACGGAAACTGTTGTACTTCATAAGTCTGTCGCGCCCTTCCGGATCTCCTCAGTGCCCAACAGCACCCAATAGCAGTCCAAACAAGGTTCACCTATGTCGAGGAAGTCAGGACATGATGCAGATGTGGCCATGGCATGCCATGGCACCCGACTTGAAGCTTTTCAGCATCTCCTCCCAAACTAAGTCGTTCGGCATCCATTCCTCACTTCTTCCAGCATGGTTACAGACCAGCTGTCACAGGAGATTGCCGTTTTCCATCTCACATCTCTGACAGGCGACTAGGCTTACCAGCCAAGCTGCATGTGGAACCTGGATACCTGCGCGGATCCAACTCGCCAGTGTTGCCTGTGTGCTTCTGAACTGGCCAGGCACGTCTAACTGTCTACTCCGAGACTGGAGGGGAATTCATTGAGAAGCAAAACAGATTGGAAAAAGACCAGTTTTGCGCGAATCAGATATCTTGGTAGGCAATCAAGCTCCTAGCGCGCTGGACCACTTGATAGCGAGCTGTGGTCCCTCAGGCACGGGACTCCCACGGTACTCGTGTAAAGCCAAACTTCCGTGGTAACATCATTGTCTCCTTTCTTGCCTGTTGTGGCACACGTGTGCATCCATAAGGCGGATCGGAAAGCCTTCCCCATGCATGCAGAGCTGGCCTAAACCCCTTCTGCAAGCCCTGTGTGAAAGGTGAGGAAAAGGCGCATCTGCACAGCGACACTCGATTGGCACTGCTGGACATGGCTACTGTTGCAGGCTCACGTGCCCTCGTGACGATGCGGCCCAATAATTGGGCGTAGTGTCTGTCTTGAATCGAGTAACGAGTAAGAGTATTGAAATTTGAATTCCGTGACATTCGCTTCTGGGATCCCTTCGGGCGTCGTCGCTTCGTCTCTAAACTTTGCGTGCCTTGAAGGCTTGGTTTACAAAGTCTACGATGACACATGAGTCCGAAGGCCGACAAGCCCAGAAACTGAGGCCCGAGCCTAAACCCCCCTACATCTCACTACTCAAGTTTCTGTAAAACTTTCATCAAGGTCACTGGCACATTCCCGCGCCTCATTGGCGACATGGCGCATGCCATGTGCATCCGCGGCATGAAAGTTAGCACAAATGTCCTCGGGTCTGCAAATGGTGGAGACAACGCATGCTCACTTGTGGCTACTTCCAGCCCTCCGCTGCGTGCGATGCCGAGCATCCGTCTCAGAGAAGCTGGCGATCGGTTCCGCATTATCGAGTCGAAGCGCTGTACCTGAGCAGCAATTGCAGCTGAATAGATCTGTATATATGGTACATAAAGAAAATCCTTGTCGCCGTCACATCCCTGCTCCTTTTGCTTGCCGACGGCATGTTATGAGAACAGCGCTGAGAACAGCGTCACTGACTCCACGCGTCGACAAGCACATGCAGCCGATGCGCAATCAATTCACACGACCCAACAAAGCACCGACCAAGGGACAAAACTGAGCTGGAAGGCATACGTGAATCAATAGAGCATTTCGCAAACCTTGACGAGTAAAGGGCATCAGGAGCTTGCAAAGCGGACGTGCTGCTCTTGAGCCCAAATCTGCAAGTCGTCAATTGGATGACCTCCCTTGGAATTCAATTCTTGCCAAAGGTGGCAAGGCTCACAGAGAAATACCGGTTCAAACAACAAAGTCAAGAGCCTACGCGGAAATCCTGGCACACGCAAGACACGCCTACATGCAAACACTGGGGCAGAAGCTCAACCTTGGAACGCACCAGGAATGCCACACCTCTGCAGCTTGAAGTGATCTGGAGTCCGGCAAAGCGCTGCTGGGATGACGCAACACGGGTCAACTACCCACCTATGCTTGGATGGCAAACGGATGGAAATGCTGCTTGAGATCCAGGATGCGGACAAATTGATGGATTGAGGTTTGACCACGGCAACCGCAGAGCTCTCTCTGGACGCAGCCCGTGCCTTCTGGACATCAAAGAAGCACTGCGTTACGTGAAAGATGAAGAGTGGTTCAGAGCAGTTTCAGCCGGCAGCTTGAGGTGTTAACCTTCTATCGTAATTATCAGAAAGGCCCTGGCGCTGCCACGACATCCCCTTCCACACGCAGTGCAGGAGAGGTCGTGTGCGGGTCAAGAAAAAGCATGCTGTCTTCGCCGTGGGTTGCCTGCTCCAGACTCAACAGGCACCCTTGAAAGGGCAACACTCGGCAACAGTGTAGCGCTGTGATTAGTGGAAGCAACAGAAGAAGCCAGGGTGCCACAAAGAAGTGCGCCGACGAGGAGCTGTTGCCACTCGCTAAACCCTCGGTAGGAAGCGTTGCAAAAGGCTGCTTTGCAATGGCTCAGCATGTGTGACTCGCGTGCCTGAAATTCAGGGAGCTGAAAGCAGCTTTCCAAACCTGCCAAACGTCCAAATGCACCGACGAATGTGTCCGCAGCGCGAGAATTAAGATCGTTGGAAGGCTAAATGACACTTCTGATTGTCGCCCTCGCTCTCTCTTCCCCCCCCCCCCCATCCCCACTCTCCCCCGCTCCCTGCTCTCTCTCCCTCTCCCTCTCAGTGTTTCTTTCTCGGGGCAAGGGGGTCCCCACACTAAGGCGCGCCCCGATCCAGGGGAAGGCGACTCGAGGAACTCTACAACCCGCAACCGCGGCTGGTCCGTCTCCTCTCTCTCGCTCGCTTTTGTTCTTCTTGTCTTGCGCGTTTGAAGGGCCCGAGCTCTCTGTCTGTCTCTCTGTCTCTCTGTCTCTCTGTCTCTCTGTCTCTCTGTCTCTCTGTCTCTCTGTCTCTCTGTCTCTCTGCCTCTCTGCCTCTCTGCCTCTCTGCCTCTCTGCCTCTCTGCCTCTCTGCCTCTCTGCCTCTCTGCCTCTCTGCCTCTCTGCCTCTCTGCCTCTCTGCCTCTCTGCCTCTCTGCCTCTCTGCCTCTCTGCCTCTCTGCCTCTCTGCCTCTCTGCCTCTCTCTCTGCTCTCTCTCTCTGCTCTCTCTGCCTCTCTGCCTCTCTGCCTCTCTGCCTCTCTGCCTCTCTGCCTCTCTGCCTCTCTGCCTCTCTGCCTCTCTGCCTCTCTGTCTCTCTGTCTCTCTGTCTCTCTGTCTCTCTGTCTCTCTGTCTCTCGGTCTCTTTGTCTCTCTGTCTCTCTGTCTCTCTGTCTCTCTGCGTCTCTGTCTCTGTCAACAGTCTTCCACGTAGGCAGCCCCAATGCCTTCTCGGTATTCCTCCAGATTGAATTCTTCTAGCCCAAGCCGACGGCAAACAAACAAAATCACCTTGCGCACAGGGTCTTCCAGTCCACACAGCACGGGCACCAATGTACAACATTTGGCACACACTTGTGTGGGGAAGGCCGAGCACCGCACCGCAGAGCTGCCACCGTCGAATAATTCGATCCTTGGCCGGTCGGCGGCGCCGTACTGAATATGAAACAGGAAACACAGGCGGTGCTTTTGAAAGCCTCTGGTTTGCTAGGGGCACCTGCATTCAGACGCATGTGCCCAACGACTGCGGGATTTCAAAAAAGGTACCAAAAAAACAAGGATCTAAACAGTTCAATGGAGATCAACAACAAAAACTTTCTCGCAGTGCTTGGAGTGACAGGCACCAAATGCTGCGAATTTGACGGCCTTTCAGACTTTTTTGACAAGCTCCAATACTGCCAGTCACGGCATGCCTGACTGCTCGCAAGCTGTGGATACCTGACACATTCCGGCGTTTCTGACTGTTCGCAAGAGACTGTAAAAGTTCAGCATTTCTGAGTGTCCACATCCCTTGTGCTCACCTAGGCTCAGCAACCAGGAGACCGACGAATACCGAAGACTTAGCAGAGCAAGCACCCGATTATTTTCTCGCGAGATTGGCCTGTGATCAAGGTCGGAGGCCTAGCCTACTGCAACCAGACTCAGTAGGAAGCACTGAACGGAAAGGGCAAGGACGAACGAATCGCTTGCCAGAGTGTGACAAGGCCTTTGCCTTACGAAACGATCCCCGGCAGCCGAGCATCCCAGCCATGCACAAGACCTTGCACAACCTTAAAAGGATTATATACGATTTGCGCCGGCCCGTACAGCACAGATTGCTCACCAACACAACAACGGATCAAGGGCCCCAGAGCCCCTGAGCCGAATGGCCCTGGAGCAATGGGGTTTGGATCGGAAGGTTGCCTGCAAACACAAGGGACCGGTTCTGGCTTGTTGGTGGCTGGGTTGTTTCCATCATGCCGGGCCTTTAAGGACTGGCTTGCCCTTGGCTTGGCTTGATTACATTACAGCAAGGGAGGCTTGCGGGAGGCACAGGACCCCCCAATTTTTCTTGAATTTGCTGGACTCAACGCTTGTGAAGCGAAGGGGTTTTGTTCCAAAATCAAATCACGACTTGGTTGGGTTGGCTGCGGCAGGATGCAAGTGCGCCCGTTGAGCGAGAAGCCAAGAAGACAAGAAGCCGGCCGAAAGACCCCCCAACAAATGCCGCGCAAACGCAAAGCCAAAAGCCAAGAGACTGCAAGAAGCCAAGAAGCCAAAATGCCACCGTCCCTCCCTCCCTCCTTCCCTCCCTTCCTTCTCTCTGGTCTCTTGGTAAGTCTACAGGACCCGATGCCGGCCAGGACCACATTTCACAAATAACAGCACATCACTCTGGCATGGTGGCACTTGACGCGATGATGCCGCATTAGTGTTTATCTCTCTAACACTAGCGAGCTTCGCTCTGTCGCTGCACTCACCCTTGCACTTCAAATCTTGGCTCACGACACATTGGTCTTATAGATGGGCCCATCCTTTGTGAAATGCCACACTGCGCTTTACGACAGGATCTCCCTACAAACCCTGCGCAAAACTGTGTGCCTCCAAGACACCACAAACACTGCACAGTCCACGCCTCTCAGAAACTCGGGAGCGCCTGAGGCCTCCCAAGTTGCATTGGGGAAAGCACAGGAAAAGCAAGGGAGAGAAGATGAGCGAAGCCGAGCAAAATGCAATCGGAGAATCTCAGAGAATGTCTTGAACGTATCACAGCGTCTCTGAGCTTCCAAGAACATCTCCCGGCGCCTTGGACTTCAAGTCCTTTGCAGCTTGCAGCTTAGGCGGCTCTCACGAATCAGAACACACCACCTCGCACATCCCTCCCTCTGACCGCACCAGCTTCACGTGGCTGTAGTCTCTGTTCGCCCGCAACGTTCACCAAACGCGCGCACTGTCTTTCACGAACTTTCGCTAAGCCACTCTCTCTTCAGCCACCAAACTAAACTGAACAGGTTACTGATGAATACCCTGCCTCGTGCAGAGTTGGAGCTTAGCTTAGCATTGAGGCTTGTTGTGGAACAGGGGGGGGCTCATGAAACCGACGCGTGTTGATCTCGTCCCCTGCAGGTCCAAGAGAACCAGGGAAGCGCACAAGATTCCAGACCTGAAGGCCCTGGCAAGCGATGTGGCCACACACAGCTACCCTTTTTCCTTCGCAATTCTTCAACAGCTTCACCACGACAAACTGCACTAGCTGGTCGTTTCTTGACCTGTGCATGTTGGGCTCAAGAAGCATCAGCCAGCCGACCACTGAACGAACAAGCTCTGCACATCCTGCTTGTCTGCATGTCCATGCTCTCACGGCACGAAAGGAAAAAGACCTGGGCCCAGCTGGGCCTTCAAAACAACATGCGCTTTCTCAATCTTGCATCACTATCTCGCAGATCGTCCGCCCAATACAAACACTTACAAACCTGACTGACACATATCTTGAACTGAGCTGGCTGGGCTGTGAGTTGCGAACGCAAGCATATTTTGATAGGAAAACCTCTGTTCTTCCTCTTTGGTTTGATAAGAAACCTCCATTTCCTCGACTTAGTTGTTGCTCCAGATTTTACTATGGAAAACTCCACTTCCTGCGAGGGTCATGAAAAGAACTAGAATAGCAGTACTGACACCAAGGCCTTTCGCATGGGTACTAACAGTGTTTTCGAGTCCTGGGAATCTCGCATTTCGGGGCCTCTGTGGCTGTGCTTTCGTTTCGCATCGGTATTCTACAGTGTTTTCGTGTCTGGGGGTCTTTGCTCTGCGTGGCTGTCTTTGGGGGCTCGAGAGGATATTTTTTGGCCATGCCGCAACGACAACATAAATGCCGAGGGATAGCAATCTCGCCTGAAACTGACACATGTCCTTCGTACGCTGGCACGTTGATTACAGCAACCCTAAACCCGAGCAACCCTGAACTCCCCCCCCCCGAGCCTAAACCCTAAACCCTTAATTCCCCACCCCCCCCCCCCCCCCCACCAGCCCCAAGCCCCCCACCTCTTAAACAGAAATTTGAGCAAGGCCCTCATTGGAAATCCAAGGCCCTCAGAGGAAACACAAGGCAATCTTAGGAAATGCCGGCCACCGACAGGAAAACCCTGCCGATACGAAACGATAACAAAGCCACGGAGGCGCCAAAACGCAACACAGACGCAGTGACACGACAACATAGACCCCATGACGCGAAAACACAGTGTACCAATACGAAACGAAAAAACAGCCTCGCAGTGCCCCAAAATGCAACATAGACCCCATGACACGAAAACACAGTTAATGCCGATACGAAAGGCCTTGGTGCGCGAAACTAACATGGCGTTAAACACGAACACAATGGGTAGTCGTCGTTGTCGTCGTCGTCGACGAACCGCTCAGCAGGTCCATGGACAGTCACACTCTCCCTTCGCACGTCTCGTGCGCGCATTACGCGGCTTTGGGGTTTACGCTTTATGGTTTTCCCAAAACCATTCGGGGTTGGGTTCTCCTTTAGGTCTGCAAACGGGCGGGTCGCGATGCGGGGTGCGGCGCGGCAAGGAAAGGCGGAAAAGACGTGGCCGACCACTCACCGGAAAAGACCCGCGGGCCACGGACGTTCGACGGAAGACTTCGGGGTGGCGGTCCGGGGATCCACCACGGGGAGGTGGTCCGCGAGACGGGGTGCGGCGCCAACGGGACGGGGTCCAGACAAGGGCGGAGGTCTGCGAGGCCTGCGAGGCCTGCGCGACGGGGTGCGGGGGGTTTCAGGCAGGGTCTGTGAGGCGGGCTGGGCGGAAAATAGTCTTGCACCGGCCTCAGAGGTCGGGAAGCGATTGAAGCAGGAACGCTGACAAAAAAATTACCCTACGAGAGTACTTCTGCGGACGGCTTTTGGGTTCTCAGGATAACCTTGTTCTCTGGCTCCCGCATAGCCGGCCGAACCGCAGACAGGGTTTACGTCTGGTGTTCTAGGAGGGGAGAAATGGTTCCTGATCAGTCGATCTTTGAACGATTCAACCTAGCAATTTAGGGTTTGGGCTTTAGGGTTTGTGCTTTGCTCCTTCGGACGCCGTTCAGTTGTATGGATTCTTTGGGTTTGAGGTTGTTACGCTGGTAAACGCGCCGTTCTGTCACGTTCTATAAATAACCCATGGGCGAAACACCGAGACGGTGGTCACTTTCGGACTTCTCGAAATGGCGAATCCCACGGCCTCCTATGCGCTTCCTAGTAGTAGTATTAGAAGTAGTAGTAGTAGTAGTAGTAGTAGTAGTAGTAGTAGCAGCAGCAGTAGTAGCAGTAGTAGTATCAGCGACAGTATGTATTTACAGTACAGCATCTTCGACCTCTTCATGCTGCAGAAGGATGTGTGGGGTGTTGCGGTAGACGTGCTGTCACAAGTGTTCCTGGCTTTTCGCAAACATGCTCAAAACACCGCTGCTTAACAGCAGGATGTTTGACATGTCTGGAACACGACGCGCTGAAACGAGTTCATGCCGTTTTTGCGAGCAGTCAGGTCTGTGTGTGTGGCATCATGAAAGTGAGCATCAACCACCAGAGTCAGATGACCTGTCCTGGAACAAGTGGCCAACTGCTTGTGCTGCGGATGTTGGGCCAAACCTCGTCACATGCCGTGTCACGAGTTGGCGATTGAAGTTCAAGAGGCAAAGCCACAGGACAATAAGTCAATAAGTACTCAGTCGCGGCAAAATCACTTGCTGGGATGCAAGCCACGTCGAAGGCTCCTAGCCAGAACCATCCGAAATGAGCTGGGCATGACATGACACTGCTATGAAAATCATCTCGCCCGAAAACTCTAATGTTGCCGGATAGCGGTCGATAGCGGTTTATCACAAGAGGGAGGGCCAGTTGAGAAAAGGCCCAAGACTAGGTCAGGTGGAATTTTCATGGTCCTTGCCCAGCACCTGCTGCCCTGTCTCGACGAGGCGGTGCCTATGGCAGAAACTTGTGCGTCCAAAAGCTGAGTAAACAGACATCGTCAGACTGCATCCGAGCCACAGCGAAAACGGTGCAGCCGGGGTGTCCAGGAAGCAGCTGACAATGCGCAAATATAAAGAGCCTAGCGCCAATGCGAGCACTGCGAGTGAAATTTAGAGTTTCCCACCGACAGCTGAGCAGGTCAAGCCACGCACGCTCGCGAGAACTCAAGTGTGCAACATACTCCTGCGATGTGACGCACTAGCCTTCTGCGAGATCTTCTGCCTGGGGCAACACAGAAATTCTTGACTCTGTGAAACACATATCGTTTGACTGTCGTTTGCCGATGGTTTGCTACTTGCCGGGGGGGTGGAGTGGGGCAAGGGCATCTTTCACCATGCGTTTGGCACAATCTCTGACTCCAATCATGGCATCTATTGGCATCTTTTTGGCCTGAACTTGTTGAACTCGTGCCGTATCCGACAGGCTCAAGAGTGCATGGCATGCTGTGTTGCTCTGTTGCCGTCAGGCCTCAGAGAATCGCCATGCTCGGCCTCTCCAAGAAGGCAGACTCACTGCATGTCCATGCACACAGCAAGTGCTTGCCTAGGCTCAGCGTGACGAAGCACTGTGCCAACATCATCTGCGTGACCTTTCTGTGATTTCAGGCAACCCCAAGGCCCACAGAGAGGCATTAGAATCATTAGAAGAAACCTGGTTTTAGGATGCGAGGCACTGGCTCGGAGCATGCAGCCCCACCCTGGGCAAGGCATGGCGAGGCGGTTTCAATAGTAATCTTTCTGCCAAATCTGTCGCGAAGCAGGCCTGAATCGGAGCTTTTGGTTCCTCCCCCTGCCAGCTCCAAGGGGGGCCTCGATTCAAAATGGTGCAGTGTGTCCACGCGTCGTAAACATGCTTCTTCAAGGTACGAGAAGGACGTGGGCCGCGGGCTCTAACCCAGAGCGGTAGGTCAGGAGGATACGTGACCGGAAGTCCTGCCACAACAAGATCCTTTCCCTCCTCCGCTCTTGCATCGCAGCTTCGAGCAGAGAAGGACAGGCTGCCTCCATGAAGGCCTCACGCTGTGCTTCATCGGATGCGTCATAGGTGATGCCAAAGCATACAACCTCCAAGGTTCACTGCAACTCATTCCAACGGCTTTGTCATCCGCTGACAGCCCCACGAATTTCCCACGACTTGACATCTGGGCGGGCCCTGGCTGACGGGGTGAAGGGCATCCATTTTCGCAGCTCGTCGATCATCCGGTGAAGCCTGGCCGGCAGCATAGCTTCGCGTTTCAAGGCTTTGAAACCGTCTCCGAAGTGTTTTTCTTGCTGGAAGTCCCAGTTGGTCTTAGAGCCGCGCTGCTTCATCTCGGCAGAAGGATGCAAGTGAGCAATGGCCCTTCCGACCCCGTGGCTTGAACCAAGCGAGTGTGGCGAAGCCACTGTTGAGTGATCCTGGGTCTGGTGTCTCCCAAAGTAGGCAGCTCATGGAACATTCCCAGATTTTACGATTCACGTATGAGGGTAACCAAAGTGCATGCAAAGCTGACAGCACCTCTCAGCACACGAACACCCCAAGCTTTTTGTCGTTAGCTGTTCGTCGTTAGCCTTGGTCGGTCTGGAGCTCAGTCACGAATCCATCGGCAAGAGCTTGCCATTAATCTCATCGAATGTCAGGACGCCACTCTTGTCCCTGACTTGTCGAAAACACGAGCACAGGCAATACCCGAACGATACCTCAGACCCTGTCTTAGCAAGCCCCAGGCCAATTTTGACGACTGTAACCAAAGCTCCGATGAAGCTTACTTTCACGACAGAGCAGAGGGGTACTGGGCAAGGGAGGCAGGGGATTGGGTTGCGGCAGTGGGCTTTGCCGGCTCAGAAATTGAACGATACGCTTAGAACCAGCGTACACGACCTGTTCAAACATTTCAAACGAGAACGGGTTGTTATGGGCGTGCTGCACTGGACAGGACTGGTCCGAGGACCAGCTGAGCTGCACCGAAAAATGGGGTGATTCGTTCCTTTCAACATAGAGAGCAGCCCCGAGGGCCAACCATCTCAAAAGATCTTAGAAACAACACAAAGCCTTGTGTCCTTCAAATGCCTACAAAAAAGTTTGCCAAGGGATGCGGTCTTTCCGAACAATTCAGCCAGGCAGCGTATCCATGGCGTCAAACAAGTCGTTTATGACGTCGACCGCCTCGGTCGACACCAATCCTTGCCGGATGAGCATGTACCTGAGCAATCAAAAAAACATAGGCGTGCTTGGGACATTGGACTTGCAGTTGTGATCCCAAACAAAGTCAGCGCGCGTGTAACAGCAAACGCAGCAACCACTCGGCATCTGGGGGAACAGAATAATAACGGCATCACTTCGTTGGCAATTTTTGTTCGGGACCATGCAGGCTGAGATGCGTCACAAACTCGTTGCGCCTGACTCTCCCCGACCCATCTCCTTGGCTGGCCGGCAACCGTTGCACTACCATGGCACTACCATAGCAGTCCAGTCAGCCCGGCCCAAGCTTGCAAGGCATCTTGGACCTGCAACCTCTCGTTTTGATTGGCGCCGTGCTGCGGTCGATCTTCTGGAATACATCCCGGGAAACCAATACTCCTCGGAAAGTTCGTCCAACTTTTGGTACAGTGAAAAGCATGATGAGCTAGTGGTCGAATGATGCACAGCGTTTAACAGGAAGACAGGACCTTGCTCCGACTCCTTTAGTTTAGCCTTTAACCGAAACATGACACCCTTTATGCCCGGGATCTTCTCTTCTTGTCTGACATCCACTCAGAAATCTTGCCAGACACCTTGGATGTGGCAATGCAAGGCAAGATCAAGGCCTTAGACGCCTTAGCTTGTCAAGTCCAGGATGTGCCGGTACTTCCTGGATTCAGAACTCAGAACTGATGCACTATGACAAACAGGTATGTCCTGAAAGCTTGGTCCTGAGCCACATTGATTTGAGAGCTATGACTCTTCAAAAGAAACATCACTACAGAGGGTCATGAACCTTCATAAACCTTCACACGTGCGTGTGCGTGTGTGTGTGTGTGTGCGTGTGTGTGCACGTGTGCGCGCGCGTGTGCGCGTGTGCGCGTGTGTGCGTGTACGTGCGCGTGCGTGCGCATGCGCGCGTGCGCGCGTGTGCGCATGTGCGCGTGTGCACGCGTGCGCGTGCGCGAGCGAGAGCGCCAGAGCGAGCGCGAGCGCCAGCGCGTGTGCGTGTCTGTGTCTGTCTGTGTCTGTCTGTGTCTGTCTGTGTCTGTCTGTGTCTGTCTGTGTCTGTCTGTGTCTGTCTGTGTCTGTCTGTGTCTGTCTGTGTCTGTCTGTGTCTGTCTGTGTCTGTCTGCGTCTGTCTGCGTCTGTCTGCGTCTGTCTGCGTCTGTCTGCGTCTGTCTGCGTCTGTCTGCGTCTGTCTGCGTCTGTCTGCGTCTGTCTGCGTCTGTCTGCGTCTGTCTGCGTCTGTCTGCGTCTGTGTGGGTCTGTGTGTGTGTGTGTGTCTGTGTGTGTGTCTGTGTGTGTTTGTGTCTCTGTGTGTGTCTCTGTGTGTGTCTCTGTGTGTGTCTCTGTGTGTGTCTCTGTGTGTGTGTCTCTGTGTGTGTCTCTGTGTGTGTCTCTGTGTGTGTGTGTGTGTGTGTGTGTGTGTGTGTGTGTGTGTGTGTGTGTCTCTGTGTGTGTGTGTGTGTGTGTGTGTGTGTGTGTGTGTGTGTGTGTGTGTGTGTTTGTGTTTGTGTGTGTGTGTGTGTTTGTGTTTGTTTGTGTGTGTGTGTGTGTGTGTTTGTGTTTGTGTTTGTGTTTGTGTTTGTGTTTGCGTTTGCGTTTGTGTTTGTGTTTGTGTTTGTGTTTGTGTTTGTGTTTGTGTTTGTGTCTGTGTTTGTGTTTGTGTTTGTGTTTGTGTTTGTGTTTGTGTTTGTGTTTGTGTTTGTGTGTGTGTGTGTGTGTGTGTGTTTGTGTGTGTGTGTGTGTTCGTGTTTGTGTTTGTGTGTGTGTGTGCTTGTGTTTGTGCTTGTGCTTGTGCTTGTGCTTGTGCTTGTGCTTGTGCTGGTGCTGGTGCTTGTGCTTGCGCTTGCGCTTGCGCTTGCGCTTGCGCTTGCGCTTGCGCTTGCGCTTGCGCTTGCGCTTGCGCTTGCGCTTGCGCTTGCGCTTGCGCTTGCGCTTGCGCTTGCGCTTGCGCTTGCGCTTGTGCTTGTGCTTGTGCTTGTGCTTGTGCTTGTGCTTGTGTTTGTGTTTGTGTTTGTGTTTGTGTTTGTGTTTGTGTTTGGTGTTTGTGTTTGTGTTTGTGTGTTTGTTTGGGCTATGCTCACTGTAGCAGAGATTACACAAAGTGTCAAAGTCGAAAATGTTTGTTTGCTTGTTTGCTTGTTTGCTTGTTCGCTTGTTTGTGTGTTAAGACAGGCTAGAATCTGAAGTGCAGCTCCATGCAGTAGAAAAGCAAGCGCTGCCACAAGGCACCGAGTGATTTCAAGCTCAGGCGCTTCGCCGACCACATTGCCGAAGGCAAGAATTCCAAGGATCATCAATATCGAGCCAACCAGCCTTCAAGTCATGGAATGGTACATGTACAGTCATTCACATCTATCTGGCCCCATGACGTCCCATGTCACATGTCGGAGAGCAGATTGGCGCCTTCCCATTCTCGACTTGGGGGTGTAGTCTCCGAAGCCAACTGTGGAAAAGGTGATGACCCCCATATACAAGGCTTGTTCGACACTTAATTGCGTGCCACCACTCGCGATGCAAGCATCCTCTTTGCATCCCTCAATTAGAGTTGCTCCATACGAGCAGGTGCAACCCTCGAAGTACGCAAAATACACTACCCAGATAGCAAGGAAGAATAGGTAGATGGCGATGGACTGCCCCAGCTGTGATGAAGATACCGATGAATCGACCGAACATAGTCCATCATCCGAGTTGTCGCTGTTGACCAAGGTCGTTTTGACCAGGCTGAGGGACTGTCGCAAGCGACTTTCTGAGGCATCCAGAAAGGACGCAGCCAATCCCGTCACGATACTTGCAACAAGCACGGTCCCTATTAACACGTAGATTGTCAAAAACACCATGCCACTCCCATGGGGAGGAATATCACCATAGCCGACAGTGGTGACAATCTGGATAATCACATAGAAGCATGTCACAAAACTCCAGTTCTCGTAACCGGATAGTACGCTCACCCCGAGCAAGATGTATCCAACAAGGGCCACCATGTTGACCTTCATAGGGTGTCGCACATAGAGTGGGAGGTCTTCCTCAAGCTCCTGCAGTGCAGATTGGATTACCCATGATTCCCAAGCCCTGCCCCAACACGCCCCAACCTCATGAATCAGGCTTTGCTCAGGGCTGCGGACGGAGCTCCACTGAAGCTTTGGGGTTCGCAACCATATTGGGATCTCCCCAACATCTTTGAAAGTACGTGTTCAGCAAAGGAGTGGACATCATTCCGAATAAGCCACCTACACATTAAGGAGCTGCATAGGACAACAGGACGGCGATCTTCTACAATGATCTGACGATGCTCTCAAGCCAACGTGGCTCAAATCTGTGCCGCCGAAGCTCCTCGTCCGATGAAGCATAACCAACCCCGCCAACGTCCAGCAGCTCGCGGGCCTGAACCACGGCATCATCGTCGTGAAAAAAGCTTGAGCAAGTGGTCAAGAAAACACAGCACACCACATGTTATACATTGCCATGCTTTGACGGAGACTCGGCTCCTCCGCCTTTGCCATGCTACCCGGCGGACGTTTGCAGGTGCAGAGTGCTACACCGAGACACTTTCCTGCTGAACCCTGCGAGCCATCGTGAAGCGCTGCATGGCCTGCAACCTGCCTGAAACACACTAGAAGCGATGCACCGCACCAGACAATGTGCGAGCACGCATGAACATGTGCATGACAGCTAACAGCATGGCTAAAGCACATGCCACGCTAACCGCAGAGATGTGCTGGATGACAGTGCGCACAGTGCTTGCCCATACAACAGATACAAGATCTGGTTGGTATAGGTGCGCAAGAGATGTCACGCTGAAGAGTGGACGCCCGAGGCTGTGCAAAGATGCATTAAGCTCCTGACCATTTGCAATGCTGTAAAATCTGTAAACAACCCTTAGGCCAGAAAGCGAAGATTTGCATTTTTGCGCCTCTTTGTGCTCAACTGGCAGAAGTGACAGAAGGGCCCACCAGGTGTCGTGAGCCCGGTTGTCAGTCACCGTCTAAGAACATGATCAACATGCATATGATTCCGCGCCGTGGCCTCTGCCACACGCAGAGCAAACAAGCCATTTGATTCTTTGATCTTCCACGATGCCTCGGCCGAAAGGTGGCTTTAGTCCGACACATCCGCAGCCAGGCTTCCCACGCATTCTCGACACGTAAGAGCCTGCCTTGAAGTGCTGGTCATTGGCTGATCATAAGCTGTCAGCAGCAGGCCGACGGTCCCTGTCACATTTCAAACATTTCATTCAGAAGCCGTTGCTGAAAGCCTTGAGCGACATGATCCGATTCACTGGGACCTCGGCTCGATGTCAGCGCGCAGTGCTGTCACAGAGCTTTGGAGTTCCGCCTGGTACACAGACTCACGGGAAGCTTCGATGTGGCACTGGACCCGCCGTCTGCCTGCTTGTTGAGGACTTCCTCCAAAGCCTGCTGCACACCAACGCCCCTTTCATGACCCATGTTGCAAATCGACTTTTTAAAAGCAAACCGCCTCAAAGCTTACGATTCGGGTAACCTGTTTTTACTTCCCATCGCTCCTGCCCCGGGAAAAGGCCCAGTTAAAAACGCCCAGCCGCAAGGGTAGCTTGCATTGCGGCTTTGCAACAATGATTCGATCTCGCGTGATTGGCCCAAAAACCGTGGGTTTGCGGGCCTTGCCTAGAAAACATTGTATAATCCCACAAGGAATAGACCTGAACACGACCTGTACGCACCAGTGAATTCCCAACAAATCTGCCATATACGCAAGCAAGAAATCTCGTGTGTCGCAGGCTCGCAGGTCGTCGGTAAAGGGTTCTTTTTGTGCTTTTCCGGACAGGGTGTCACCCGTGCAACAAAGACCGGGTTGGGTAAACACATGGTTTCAAGGCCCATGCAGGGGAAGCATCCCAGCCATCAGTCGGAGCGGTACCCATTCCAGAGCGTCGGGAGGCACCCAATGCACTCATTCACTGATTCCTTCCTGCTCCCCCATTCGAGCGGTTGGGACTCACCTTTGAGCTGGACACCTCCGGAACAGAGGCCTTTGGGACAGCTCTGAGTTCCGGGAGGGGCTTGGCTTGCCCCAGCAAGGTCGACCTAAACCTGCCACTAGTGGTGCAGTTCCTGGCAAGGGCCGATACCACCGTCGCAAAAGCGTGAATGACAACGGACTACGGCATCCATCCGGATCGTAAACCGCCGCAAAAGGCATCATAGAAAACGGGAAACAGCATGAAAGTTGGAAAATCCTGGCCCTGTTCGGTACGCAGACATGGGTGGCGTTAGATCGGTTCGGCGATCAGCTCTCAGCATCTAGTAATTATTGGCACCTGAGTGGCCCGTGAAGCCTCGGAAAAGGCTGATTTCGCACGGAAAGCCTTAAGGTCCCTGAACACCTGCTATGAAATCTGAAAGAGGAACGGCATGGAGGAACAGCACGCACACAGAATGCGACAACATTGACTCACGACACACAGCACCGAGCCAAAAGGATTTTCAGCGAGCTCTGGAAACAGCCTGGCGTCCCTGAGCCAGCTCAGCTTGCAGAACCTTGGCAAACAGTTTTGCTGGCGGGATCTTGGTCTTGTCACTGTCCCATCCAGGTCGTGCCCCTGCACCAGGTACCTTGTTCTCGCCTCGAACTTGCTCCAGCTCCTGGACACAGGATAGCCGGGATAGTTGAAAAAACTCCAGAGCTGAACAAACTGAGCACCGAATCATCTTGCCTGAGATCGCCTGCGCCACTCATGAAGGGCATCCTGTGCCTCACGCACTTGTCGCAGCGCATATCACGGTAGACATCCTAAGCATCCTCAGACTGCTCTGCCTGCGCAGCCATGCTTCGACGCTCCTAGCAGGGTGTAGCATATCAGGCTCATCATCTCATCCGTTTTGTTCTCGTTACTACTTACCACGGCAAGAAGCTTATAGTCTGTCTGTCGTCGCGGCCCTGCTGAGGAAGAACAAGCAGAAGTCGCTAGGGCTCCTCTTCTGCCAAAGCTGCCAATTCTGGCCGTCCTGACATGACGCCACCGAAATCACGTGGCCTGACTGACGACGCTGTGAGAAGAAAGGACAGCATGACAGTTGACAGTTGTCCTTGGACGATGGATATCGCCCGGCGAAGGGCGTCAATGTAAGGCATTACCTGCAAACAATTCCACACAGAATCATTGTGCTCTTCTTCTCGAGATCCACCGGGCGCACGCAAATCAAAATCAAAAACACCTCTTTATCCAGCCAGGAATGGAAAAGAGTGCAGAGCGGCTGTCTGTGACGAGCGTGTGCCATGTTTTTCTGGCCATTTTACCCCCTGTCGTGTGTGTGAGAAAGACCAGATGCAGAATCCAATGCCCACGCCCGAAACGATTTAATAGTCTATCTCCTGTGCGATAGATATCACAAGATATAGAACCCGACGTCAGAAATAACTCGTAGCATATTGCAAGAGATGTGTCCGATTTCCTCAGCTTCGGCGGTCCAATACGAAAATAGACCGATAAGACTTTGCAAAAGAAGCCGCAACCGTTTTGTGCTGGCCGCCCTGGCCGCGCAAAGGCCAAACTTGTACTATATGATGAATACGCTCATAAGTCCTACAAGAAGGGGCAATCGCGAGTGCGATTCCTTTTTATGATTGGCACTATGACTGCCTACGCTATGAAATGGGTCTGCGAACCTGTGGGTGGAGTCGGAAGTATGGAGGTGTGCAGCATTCTTCTTTGTCAGCTTCACGCCTTTAGTACTTCAGTAGATAAAAGCTAGGCATGTGCTGAATCTCCGGCAGGGAAAAGGAAGGTGATTGTGTTTTTGGATTGAGACATTTAAAGAGTTTTAGGGTTTAGGGCTTTTGGGGGTTGAATTCATTCGGATAATTATTAGGCATTTGGTATTTTTCGGGTGAGGATTCAGGGTTCGGGCGTTTAGGGTTTGAAATTGGGGGCTTTAGGGGTTTTAGGGCTTTGGGGATCTGGGTGTTTTTTGCCACCCGCACTGCATGCACTTATGCCCTGGGTCCCTGGGTTGCTTTTTTGCCCATAGCTGAACTGACGGGGCGCTGCCAGAGGCCTGTGTGATCGTACCCACATCAAAACACCCACCCCCGCCCCGCGCCGTAGGATCAACTAAACAGGTGTCGAAGCTCCTGCTTTTCACACGAGAGGGCACACCCTTCCTGTATACAACCATCAAGGCTTTCGGGGTCCTGTGCCTCAAAACCAAAAACATAAGCTGCGGTGCTAGGAAGGGAGAAGAGCTTTGCTACTGGTTGCCAATGTTCGTTCAGAGTTGCTGCTTAGTCGTGAAACGTAGCCACATTCCAGTACAATCGCACATTCTGGTAGAATCGCCCGACATTGGCCAACCTATGAAGGCACATTCCGGTACAATCGCTGCGCTGAGCCCTGGTCTTCCTATCAAGAGTCGGATTCCGCACAGTCGGGTGCCTGAGCCTCCCTTGCTTTTATCGCAACCTTTCGGTACTGTTGCAGCAAGGCAGCGAAGCTGGGATACACCACGTCGACATGCCTTGAAATTGGGGCCTCGTCCGCATCACACCCTTCAGGCCCTTCAGAGCTGCCATCGTACTGGGCAAGGAAGCTCAACACCTGGCACGGGCCACGTCGATCTGCTAAGGCTGTCTACTCAGCGGCAAGATGAGGCCTGGTCGATGACCTGCCATTCATCCACTTGCGGCTCTGGGCCAAGCTCGCCACCTTGCAGCTGGCGACAGCAGTCGGAGCAGGCTGCAGCACATCAATCGAATGCAAGACCATGGCCCTTGCAACATTGCATTCCACGGCTTCTTCCTTGTCTCACCCTGCCTGGTGTTGCTACGTCGTCCATCATCCCGGCCACGGACACCATTGATGCTGCAAGAACTGCGTTTTCTAGCCACTTGTCCCACGATAGCTGTACAGCTGTACCGTCCAACATAGCGAATGTAAAAAGTTTCGACACAAATCTGGTCCTACTCTGGGGCATAGTAATTTCAGTAGCAAAGCAGTGTGCTGAACCGAAAGAAACCATTCACTCCAAACGAGCATGAGGCCAGGTACGCAAAGCACGGTCACATACAGTATGCACTCCTTACGTTGGGAAGCCCTTTGGGTGGAGTTTTTCCTTGGATGTTTTCTCTTCTTTTTTTCTGCGCTAATCCTTATTGGTTTTGGCTCTGTTTCCTTGGCTTTCCCTAAGAAAAACATCTGTTCCCTTTGTATTGGATTCGGATTTCTTATTGATATTGCTCGAATCCATATCAAATATATGTTTTCTTACTAATTTTAGTCGGCCGTCGACATATTCTGCTGTAATTTTGGGTATATTGTACTTCAGATTCAGACTACTTTTCATAGGATTCATTGGAAGTCGTACGTAGTTGAGGCAATGTCAGGACGATACAACACGGGGCTGTTGCGCGGCTCTCCAAAAGACTTCGGGACACTTGTGGACAAGAAGCACCCATCACCCTTATTCACTTTAGGAAAATGGAAACTAGTTTTGCGGAAATCCTTCCTAATGTGGCTGGTTTGGCCTGAGAAAACCTCTACTCCTGTCTTACAAAAGTGGGCGGGGCCCGGGCGGGGGTTGGGGGTGGCGTGGCCCCCCCCCCACCCCCGCCGCCCCCGGCCCCATGTCCAAACACAACGCTCGCATGACGGGTTATGATTTGAAGCAAGCTTGCACAGCTTTAAAAAAGCGAAGAAGTCAAAAAGACTCATATGCCCTGACGCAAGTTTGCACATGCACAGCGACAACAGTGGGGGGTTGGGGGGGGTGGGTGGTGGGTGGGTGGGCGGCGGGGAGTGAGGGGGCGCCCCAGACCCCAATTCAAGGGATGCGCAACCCTCAGGGAAAAGTTGATCCGACTGTGTTGCCGTTGCGGGGGGGATGAGATAAAGTAGGCCGAAAGCTAAACTATCTCGGGAACTATCGTGTTTATGAGCAAGAAACCCTGCGGCTTGACGAGAACTCAAGCTTCTTCGCCCATGTGACCAAGCCTTGGCAATGTACACTCAAAAGCGATCCTCCCAATGTCACATGTCTCTAGCCAACGCTGCGCGCCCTCCAACGCAGGATGCGTCAAGTTAAGGATTCAATACAGACTGCCGAACAGATATCCAGCGATCATCCAGCACATGTCAAACCGCTCGCAACCTGCTTTCAGGCGTACAGGGGACTCTCCGACAGCGAATTGCATGCTATTGGCACGAATTTACACAGCCGCCTTGGCTTTGTAGGGCACAGTCGCTAAATGCTTGCATGCGTTGTTCCTCTGCTTGGCCTGCCTGGGCAAACGCTATTGCTATTGCGTAACCATGGGAGAACATTAGCTGAGCCGGCCATAAGCCTTGGGAAGCGAAGCCTTGCGTGCCCACAGCATTAACAGCGGGTGTGCTGCACTGCACGAATTCGCAGCAAATCTCTGAACTCTAAACAGAGTAGGCTCTGGTGGAAAATCAACGAAAAGATATTGATCAGTTGTGGACGTAATCACTGTGTTCGGCTCAAACACCTCTAGCACGGGTTCAAAAAAACATAATAGAATACCAACAACCATCAACAACCATAACTGCAACGATGACGATATGAATAAACAACCAACACAACGCGAAAAAAAAAATAATAATAATAAACAAACAAACAAAATCAATTGAACAACTATGAGACAACCTGTGACGGGAAACAGCGACTGCGAAAAGACACGGGACGGTCTGACAGAGTATGACGGGGTATAACCGGGTATGCTCGGTATGCCGGGCATGGTTCTGACCGGGTATGACCGGGCATGACGGGGTATGCGCAGGTCTATGCCCAGGTATGACCGGGTATGACCGGGTCTGGCTTACTTGGGCGTACTCGGGCTTACTCGGGCTTACTCGCGCAATGACTAACTACAAGCAAACAACAACAATCATAACAACAACCAGAAACAGAATTGCAATAACGATAACAGTAGCAAATGACAACATGGCGGCTACTCTTGAACATGCGGAGTTTTGAATAAAGAAATGAAAATGCTACACTACCCCCATTAGCAGTTGAGCGCAGGCACTGTTGTTAACAGCGGAAACCTCGGCCCTTATACTTAGTTAGACAAGACAATACCGTCGAAGAAGCTGTCGAAGAAGTCGAGGGCTGGAAGCCCCACAAGCGCGTCTTTGCCGGTTGAGCCTGGTTTTGGGAAGCCTAGGAACGGAAGGTATACATTTAAACGCGCGTATAACATGATAATTTGCTACACCTTGGCTGGTGGCCCATGCTGCCTTCCACATGTCTGAAAATTCTGAAACTATTCGCCGAAACTACATTTCTTCTTGGAGCACTGCAGGGATCCGGAACTCTCTGAAGCTCTGTCGGAGTCCCCCTCACTCCAGTGATGCTCTGTGGGATCTTCTGTGGGATTGTCTGGGGGTGGGCACGCCAGGAACCATATGTATATTATAATATATGTGTATATATATTTTTTTGATTTCATTGTTTATTTATTTACTTATTTATTTATCTATTTATATATTTGTTTTAATTTATGTATATGTATATTTATACAAAATCACGTCCGATAATGACATTTGCTGCGGAGAAAAAACTGTACACTCTGCATTCAAGCGAAGCTCTCAGTGACAGCGCGTTAGGCGCCGGAGTCTCGCCAACCACGGGCCGCTGCCGTCGTTGGGCCCGTCGCTCTCGTCTGCTACCTTTCCATGGCTTGCAGGCAAATTCAGGGCGACATCTCGTAAAGAGTTGTGGCATCGGCCTTCATCTCGCTCGTGGCCTCATGGCTTGTCTGCTTGCGAGCTGTGAGCCGTGGGCGGCTCACTGCCTGCAGAAACACTCCAAAAAAAAGGATTTTCTTCAAAGAAAGCCAGGCAGCGTCAAATAACTACCTGAAATATTCCAATACAGAGCCCCCGCCTGCCATAAAATGCAAGAAGCTTCCCGAAATAGGCTCGCGATAATCAGTAGCGTCAATAGTAGAGGCAGCAGCGGCAGCTACGACAGCAGCTGCGGCAGAAGCCGCTGCTGCAGCAGCAGCCGCCGCAGCAGCAGCCGCCGCAGCAGCAGCAGCAGCAGCCGCAGCAGCAGCCGCAGCAGCAGCCGCAGCAACAGGGACAAAACTTGTAGGTTGCAACGGAGCACCAAACAGAAGTAGACGCGTTTCGGGTTTGCCGCAGTTAAGAGTGATCGGCATTAGGCATGGCAATGGTCAGCAGATGTAGGAATTGCCGCCTGCATGAGCCTCCCGCTGCTTACGGCGCGGTTCCCTCTCCGCCTCTCCTATTGCTCGCCTGAACTTCACTTGCCACTTATCAAGGCGACATTCCGGCAATTGCCGGCCAGAGCCTCACTGCGCTGCTTACGAAGGCAAGATTCCAGCGAGGGAGAAAAGCGAGGGAGGAAAGAGAAAAGGAGAGAAAGGGATAGAAAAGGAGAGAAAAGGAGAGAAAAGGAGAGACAAGGAGAGAAAAGGAGAGAAAAGGAGAGAAAAGGAGAGAAAAGGAGAGAAAAGGAGAGAAAAGGAGAGAAAAGGAGAGAAAAGGAGAGAGAAGGAGAGAGGGGGAGAGAGGAGAGGGGTAGAGAGGGGTAGCGAGGGGTAGAGGTAGAGAGGGGAGAGAGGGGGAGAGAGGGGGAGAGAGGCGGAGAGAGTGGCAGAGAGGCGGAGAAGGGGCAGAGAGGAAGAGAGGGAGAGATTGAGAGAGGGAGAGAGGGAGAGATGGAGCGAGGGAGAGAGGAGGCAGCGAGGAGGGAGCGAGGAGGAGGGCACGAAAGAGGGTGATCAGCTACCCCGGCGCCCACCAAATCAGCCACCACTTGCCTCCAAGAGCGCGGAAACGCAAAATGTTCAAACACTATGTTTCAAGAAAAATGCCTCCGCAACGATCTCTCTTGTTGGGCTATCATACTTTCACAACATCGTAAGTTCTGATAAAGGGCGGGGCCTCGTCCGTCTCACTGGTTTGGACGTCATTGGCCACGTCCAAACACGTCCTGGGAGCCCATCGTGAGGGAACGGAATACTTTTGATAGCTCCTTTTCTTGCTTGTTTTGGCCGCGCCGCGCCTTTCCCAACTTGCAGGTGGTGGGGGTGGAGCTTGGCGACTAAGCAGCTCGTCGAACCGAACGACCTGGAAACCAACAGGCCCAAGGATCCAAAACAAAAATGTTCCATGGCCTCCACGCACTCCACGTGCACGCAGTATTAAATGGTGAGTAGAAGCTGTTCACCACGGGGTATGATGCACTGTTGCCAGTGATGTGTTGGAAAATGCGATTGTTCCGTGCAAAAACAAACCGTGCACCGCGCCTTGGTCGGTGCCTCCACTCGAGCACCTTTGCCCATCGCCCCCGTAACATTTGCATTGAATGCCTCCCATGTCTGGTCTGAGGCGCCGGCAACTTCGATTCTGCTGTTTGTCCCCGTGCAAAGTCATGGTGAGCTCCTCCACGAGTCTGCTGCGTGTCGCTACCCCAAGTAAGCATCTTTCTCCGTGTGACAGTCTGAACAACATTCGCTACGTCTATGCCTATTCTGCGCGCATCCATGCCGACGCCGTGTGCAAAAACTTTGTCCATACATCTGACGCGCACCTGTGAGCGACTGTCAAAACCGTCTGGCGGTGCTAATGGACGCAACATGCGGGGTGCAGGCTTTCAAGTGTCCCCATCGCTTTACAAGGTTTTAACGTCAGGTGTCCACGCTTGATGTCTGCAGGCGTCGCTTTGGGAAAGTTTCAAGGCTTGCCCACCCAATGGTTCATCATCTGAGGGGTGCGCTTGTCAAGTGTTCTTTTTTTTTTGTTAACGCTCCTTTTCTCCGACGCCGACTCGTGGTCTCAAGGCCGCATGGGCAGGCGGCTAGTTGCCGC